GACACCAAGGAGAACGCCAGAGAGGTGGGGGAGGGGGACGGGGGGGGGGAGGAGGGAGACGGGAGGGGAATGGGAGCTAGGGGAAGGGGAATGGGGATAAGGGATAGAGGGGGGGAGTTCCAATGCATAGGCATCGACACCAAGGGGAACGCCAAGGAGGTGGGGGAGGGGACGGGAGTGAGGGGAGGGAGGGGAGGGAGGGGAGGGAGGGGAGGGAGGGGAGGGAGGTAGGCGGTAGGGGCAGGGGAAGTAGGGGGGTTTTCAAGGCATTGGGCCTTGACTGCATAGCACTGAAGCTGCATCGTGCTCCAACCCCTTTGATCTTTGAGTCGACTCAAAAGTCACCTCATTGGGCCTTGACTGCATAGCAGTGAAGTTGCATCGTGCTCCAACCCCTTTGACCACCGCTCGCTCCTCAATCACCCCATCCCCCATCCAACCCCATTCGCTCCACCCCCACACCCACCTTCACCCCGCCCCGCCACACCCACCTTCACCCCTCACCACCGCTTCACCTCCCTCACCACCAGGTGGCGGCCAGCAGTGACGTCATCTTCATTGCAGTCAAGCCGTTCGCCGTGCAGCCTGTGCTCGCTGACCGTTCACCCCTTTCACTACAGGTGAAAGTGAAAGTGAAACGGTCAGCGAGCACGGGCTGACGGTCAGGTGGGGAAGTGAAACGGTCAAGCCCTTTCACTTCCCCACCTGACGGATCTCATTCCCTTGGGACTTCCCTCCCTCGCCCGCACACCCACCTTCACCCACCTTCACCCCTCAACACCCCTTCAACTCCCCCACCACCAGGTGGCGGCCAGCAGTGACGTCATCTTCATTGCAGTCAAGCCGTTCGCCGTGCAGCCTGTGCTCGCTGACCTGGCGGCGTCGGGCGCGCTGACGGAGCGCCACCTCATCGTGTCGATCGCTGCGGGCGTGCCACTTGGCAAGATGCAGCAGTGGGCGGGGGAGGGCGTGCGGATCGTGCGAGTCATGCCCAACACACCTTGTCTTGTCGGTGCCACCGCTGCTGGTGAGAGGGAGGAGTAGGGCACAAGTAATCCGCACGCTATATTCATGTGACTCTTGAGAATTTGAGAATTCTCAAAAGTCACTCGAATGAGAGGGATGAATGAGTAGGGCATAAGTAACCTGCAGTACGTTCCATGCTACCAGTATGCGGTCGTCGGTGCAAGTGTCATCCAACAGCACATCAGTTTAAAACTCGTCCAGTTTTGAGACGCCTCAGCAGTTCCAGGCATCACGTCGTACGGCTACCTTTTGAGACGTCTCAAAACACGTCGTACGGCTACCCGCACGCTGCTTCACGCCCTCCATTGCTGCAAGCGTGCCATTCCACCCTACTCCCCAAGCGTGCCATTCCACCCTACTCCCCCTACTTCCCCCATCCAGCCATGAGTCTGGGGAAGCGTTCAATAGATGAGGACAGGGTGTTGGTGAAAGCCATGTTTGTCGAGGCGCCTTCGAAACCACCTCCTCTCTCCCCCCGTAATCTTCCCATCCCCCCCTATTCCCTCCTATTCCCTCCTTTTACCCCCATCCAGCCATGAGTCTGGGCAATAGCGCAACAGAGCAGGATGGGGAGCTAGTGAGGGCCATGTTTGTTGAGGCACCTCCTCTCTCCCCCCTTATTCCCCTGTATTTCCCACCATCCAGCCATGAGTCTGGGCAAGAGCGCAACAGAGCAGGATGGCGCGTTGGTGAGGGCCATGTTTGGCGCCGTGGGGGAGGTGTACGAGGTGGAGGAGCGTTTGCTCGACGCTGTTACTGGGCTCAGGTGAGTCCAACAAAAGCTCGGGTGATTCCAACAGAGGCTCAGGTAATTCAACAGAGCACAGGTAATTCCTGAGCTCAGGTGATTTCCAACAGAGGCTCAGGTGGGTGTGCCTGCATATTTAGGAATCACTTTTGAGAATTCTCAAAAGTGATTCTCAGGTGGGTGTGCCTGCAACCCTGCTTAACACTCCCCCTTTTCTCCCTTTCTCCCTTTTTTCATCTGCAGCAGCAGCGACCCAGCGTACTTGTTTGTGGCCAGCCATAGAGGCACTAGCTGATGAAGGCGCCTAAGCTTTTTTTGAGAATTCTCAAAGAATTCTCAAAAAATTCTCAAAGAATTCTCAAAGAATCCCTACGGCCATGGAGGCACTAGCTGATGGTGGTGGTGGTGGTGGTGGTGGTGGTGGTGGTGGTGGTGGTGGTGGTGGTGGTGGTGGTGGTGGTGGTGGTGGTGGTGGTGGTGGTGGTGGTGGTGGTGGTGGTGGTGGTGGTGGTGGTGGTGGTGGTGGTGGTGGTGGTGGTGGTGGTGGTGGTGGTGGTGGTGGTGGTGGTGGTGGTGGTGGTGGTGGTGGTGGTGGTGGTGGTGGTGGTGGTGGTGGTGGTGGTGGTGGTGGTGGTGGTGGTGGTGGTGGTGGTGGTGGTGGTGGTGGTGGTGGTGGTGGTGGTGGTGGTGGTGGTGGTGGTGGTGGTGGTGGTGGTGGTGGTGGTGGTGGTGGTGGTGGTGGTGGTGGTGGCATGGCATGCCAGTACCCCTGCTTACCACTTCTGCCTGCCATGCCATGTTTGTCCCCACTGCAGCGGCAGTGGTCCAGCATATGTGTTTGTGGCAATAGAGGCGCTAGCTGATGGTGGTGGTGGTGATGTGGTTGTGCCTGCACTGCAACCCTGCTTACCACGTCCCCTTTTCTGCCCGTCCATTCTCCCCTCTTCTCCCCACGGCAGCGGCAGCGGGCCAGCATATGTGTTTGTGGTAATAGAGGCGCTCGCTGATGGTGGTACGGCGGCAGGCCTTCCCCGCAAGGTGGCTCTCTCCCTCGCTGCTCAGACGGTGAGAAGAGACTCTGAGTGCGGTGAGGTGAGGTGAGGTGAGGTGAGGTGAGGTGAGGTGAGGTGAGGTGAGGTGAGGTGCACATATGTCAACGATTGAAGGAGATAAGATGAATGGAATGGTGGCGCCCTCTCTCGCTGCTCGGACAGTGAGACTCTGAACGGGGTGAGGTGAGGTGCGCGGTGAGGTGCGTGGTGAGGTGCGGTGAGGTGAGGTGCGGTGAGGTGAGGGGTGAGGAGCAATGTTTGATCCGAGGCCAAGAGCGAGATTGCTCGCAATGGACTTTTAAAAATCACTCCCTGTTGTCGGCGTTCCTTCCAAACCCTCTATAAACGCCTACAACTTGGTAGGTAGGAACCCATTCTTTCATACCCATAGTTCTTACAGGTAGACTGTGGATCTCTGTTTCATTGCAGCAGCGAGATGACTTTGAGTCGACTCAAAAGTCACATGTAGGCTGTCTATCTCTGCTTCACTACACCAGCGGAAGCTATCAATCCTCGCTAGTGAAGTGAAGCTATCAATCCTCGCTAGTGAAGTGAAGCTATCAATCCTCGCTAGTGAAGTGAAGCTATCAATCCTCGCTAGTGAAGTGAAGCTATCAATCCTCGCTAGTGAAGTGAAGCTATCAATCCTCGCTAGTGAAGTGAAGCTATCAATCCTCGCTAGTGAAGTGAAGCTATCAATCCTCGCTAGTGAAGTGAAGCTATCAATCCTCGCTAGTGCAGTGAAGCTATCAATCCTCGCTAGTGAAGTGAAGCTATCAATCCTCGCTAGTGCAGTGAAGCTATCAATCCTCGCTAGTGCAGTGAAGCTATCAATCCTCGCTAGTGAAGTGAAGCTTTACTGGTGAATCATGGCTGATGAGGCATGGCTGATGAGGCATTGTTGCCCTTTCTCCCCCCTCCCCGGCAGGTGTAAGGAGCAGCCAAAATGGTGATAGACATACAGAAGCACCCGAGGTGATGTGGTTTCTGAGTCGACTCAAAAAGCAGGTTGACACTCAAAAATATCATTGCTGGCATCTTTTCCCCCTCTCTCATAATGAGCTCGTGGCAGGTGTATGGAGCAGCCAAGATGGTCATCGACACTCAGAAGCACCCGGGCCTACTAAAGGACTCTGTCGCCTCACCAGCAGGTATGATCACATTGTTCGCGTGAACTGAGACGATTTTTGAGGCGCCTAAGAAATCGACACTCAGAAGCACCCAGGCCTACTAAAGGACTCTGTCGCCTCACCAGCAGGTGTGATCGCGTTGTTGCATGGCCTTTTTCTTTCTTTCTAGCTGCAGTTGTGCTCTTGAGAACATTGTTGTTGGACAGTCACCAGCAGGTGTGCTCACTGCTGCTACTCTGCTGCGTCCCTCTCTTCCACACGTCGCAGTTTCCTCAGCCGACGATTTTGCTCTCTGCCGCACCCCTTGACACCAAATAACGCCGTTGCTGGGCTAAATGAGCTCGAAAGAAGCGGATTGTGAGTTGACTTCCCTTCCTCCCCCCGTCGTCCTTTGATGACCATGCAGGAACCACCATTGCTGGCCTGCACGAGTTGGAGAAGGGCGGGTTCCGATCGCTGCTCATGAATGCCGTGGTTGCTGCAGCCAACCGCAGCAAGGAGCTTTCCAACTGACGGCCAGGCGGAGGAGCAAGGACAGGGGAGGTTCGGGTATGGGGCTTCTAGCGGCGTCTTGGCGTGAATGCCGTGGTTGCAGCTGCTAACCGCAGCAAGGAGCTCTCAAACTGACGGTGGCCAGACACAGTAATTGCATGGACTAGAGGTTTGTTTGGGTGCTGATTTTTTATGGCGCCTCAGTAATTGCACCAGGAGATGGACCACACAATGGTATGTTGCAGTTTTGCTGAAGGCGAATGCCTTGGTTGAAGTGCCCATGTGATGGGTTGTGATAGGCTGTTTACTGATCCCTAGCCAACCTATTTAGAACAATGACTATCCTATTATCATATTTACATATATTTACATCGGACAATAACTATCCTATCCTAACTATACATAGAAGGGCCATCATGTCATGTCAGTTTTAGATCTCGTAAGGAGGTAGCAATGTCTGTCGATGCAACAGCACCTTCCTCTCTTATCACTACAGCTGCTCCCCTTCTGCTCATCTGCAGAGGCAGCAGAAGCTTCTCCAACCACCCCGCATCATCCACCCCCCGAGCCAGCCTCGGCCCGAACCTTATCTCGAGGTTCGTCGGCGCACAACACAGCAACTCCCTCTTCCCCCTCCACTCCTGTTGTCACCATCACCAGCTGGTGCTTTGCTAAAAGCCACTCCATCTCCCTCTCGTCGATTTGTGTGAAAAGGCCGTCTGCCGGATAAACACTTATAGAAAATGCAGTCACAAGCCGCTCGTTGAATTTGTGATGCAAATAAACCATCGGAAGGTCATCCGGGTCGAATTGAAACGGTTCCTCAATCTCCCTTGCAACTTCATTCAGAAGATAAAACGAGAAGACGGACAGCAAAGTGATTGCTGATGCAAGGTACGGGTCGGCTAGCCAGTCGGCCATGAGGAGCGGGATGATGAGGGCGTTGATGTGCAGGAGGAGAGCCACGCACTGCGCGAAGGGGAAGGGGAAGGGCGTGTTCACTATCTTGAGTGCGTTCTCGTACCCCAGCATGCCGTCTGGTGGGGAGCAGGTGGGAGGAGGGTGGGGGGGAGGGGGTGGAGGAAGGGGGTGAAGGAGGGGAAAGGAGGAATGGGAAGAGAGGGGACGGTGTGGTGAGGATAGGGAAGAACAAGACGTGATGGAACGACCCATTGATGGCTCATTGATGGAACGGAACAGTGCAACAGCTAGGTGACTTATGAGTCGACTCAAAAGTGAGGATAGGGAAGAACAAGACGTGATGATGGAACGACCCATTGATGGCTCATTGATGGAACGGAACGGTGCAACAGCTAGGTGACTTATGAGTCGACTCAAAAGTGAGGATAGGGAAGAACAAGACGTGATGATGGAACGACCCATTGATGGCTCATTGATGGAACGGAACGGTGCAACAGCTAGGTGACTTATGAGTCGACTCAAAAGTGAGGATAGGGAAGAACAAGACGTGATGATGGAACGACCCATTGATGGCTCATTGATGGAACGGAACGGTGCAACAGCTAGGTGACTTATGAGTCGACTCAAAAGTGAGGATAGGGAAGAACAAGACGTGATGATGGAACGACCCATTGATGGCTCATTGATGGAACGGAACGGTGCAACAGCTAGGTGACTTAGGAGTCGACTCAAAAGTGAGGATAGGGAAGAACAAGACGTGATGATGGAACGACCCATTGATGGCTCATTGATGGCTCATTGATTTCGCTTGCATGAAGCTCAAGAACGGCTTACCAGATAACACTTGGTATATTCTGGAGACGATAGGGGCGTCTTGTGAGATCCCCCCCGCCATGCGGCGGGCCACGAGCGCCCGGTGCAGCCAGCACATCACCAGGTAGACACGGTCACGGGAAGGTTCCAGGATGCTGCACTCCGTGGGGTTCACCCCCCCCAGCACTGCCAGCGGCAGCGCCCGCCAGTACTTCTCCAGGTGGGGGCGGTGGGCTCTCAGGAAAATGGAGGACCTGGGGCGTGGGTGGGAGGAGTGGACGGGAGCGGGGTGGGTGGGATGGGGGGGGAACTTGGGAGCACGAGTGGAGTACATGCAATGGGAGGGGCAGCAGAGGTGGACTGCGAGGGGCAGCAGAGGTGGACTGCGAGGGGCAGCAGAGGTGGACTGCGAGGGGCAGCAGAGGTGGACTGCGAGGGGCAGCAGAGGTGGACTGCGAGGGGCAGAGAAGCACAGGGAGGGGCAAGCATAGCAAAGCCCGCCAGTTACTGGCTATATAAGTATCGTACTTCACCTCATGTCTGGTTTACCGCAAAACCACACTACGTAACCTTATGTTTGGTACTAGACATGTTAGTTAACCTCCTCGTCTGGCCATTAACCTCGCAATTCTCAATGTCCTCCCTGCTGCCTCCACTCACTTGTTTCCGCGCACTCGCTTCCATTCTTCCACCTGATCCGCGTCCACTGGCGGCTCTGGTGGGATGTGCATGAATCGACCCGCGTGGGAGAGAGAGCCGGAGGGGCAGAGAAGCAGAGCGAGGCAGAGGGGAATCTGATTATGAGGCGGCTATTGATCCACTCCTCCACCTGATCCGAGTCCACTGGCGGCTCTGGTGGGATGTCCATGAATCGACCTGTGCATCAGCAGAGAAAAGCAGAGAGAAGCGGCGCGATGCGAATGAAGCGCGAAACGCTTTGTAGGGACGGGAACTGGTCACAGCTTATTTTTGCAACAAGGGCAAGGAGAGGAATAGAAGGAGGTATGGCAAGGAGGCAAAAATCCGGAGAGAAGAGTAGAGTCAAGAATGAGCCCACACATCAGTTTATACAAACCATAAGAGTACAGACCATAAGTCAAAGTACAGACCATAAGTCAAAGTACAGACCATAAGTCAAGTTGGTGAGGTGTGAGTCTCCTCGTAGTCTCTGCTCGGCACAGACAGACAGACGTGTGATGGAAAGCAATGCCGGGAGAGTGTGTAAGTAAGAGAGACACAAAGAAGAGAGCGAGGCGCGGCGAGGAGAGAGAGGAGGTGAGGGAAGAGAGGCGAGGGGGCGAGGGGAGAAAGAGGAGGTGAGGGGAGAGAGAGGCGGCGAGGGGTGAGAGAGGAGCTGAGAGGAGAGAGAGGCGGCGAGGGGTGAGAGAGGAGGTGAGGGGTGAGAGAGGTGAGAGAGGTGAGAGAGGAGGTGAGGGGTGAGAGAGGTGAGAGAGGTGATAAGGCAGGAAGGCTGGCAGGCATGCAGGCAGGTAAGCTCACGTTGTGCATGAAACTCATGGTGTGCACAAACGCACAATGGATGCTGCTTGCTTACTCACACGCACTGAAATTGAGATCTAAGACAGTGCAACACCTGTAGCGCGAGCACGTGCATGAGGCTCATAGTGAGTGCATGAGGCTCACGGTGTAGGTACCGAAAAGGCATACCTGCAGCGCGAGGGCGTGCATGAGGCTCATGGTGTGCACGAACTCGGAGCGGAATCGAATCCCGCCCGGCTCCACTGGCTCCTCCTGCCCCCCCTCATCGAACGATATGACCTGTGGAGGGCGAGAGGGGTGAGGAAAACGGAAAGGCCAGAGGTGCAGACGGAAGGAGAGGAGGGGGAGACGAGATGGGACGGGATCCATATTCCACCCGGTTTTGAGTCGACTCAAAAGCAGATGGGACGGGATCCATATTTCACCCGGTTTTGAGTCGACTCAAAAGCAGATGGGACGGGATCCATATTCCACCCGGTTTTGAGTCGACTCAAAAGCAGATGGGACGGGATCCATATTCCACCCGGTTTTGAGTCGACTCAAAAGCAGATGGGACGGGATCCATATTCCACCCGGTTTTGAGTCGACTCAAAAGCAGATGGGACGGGTTCCATATTCCACCTGGTTTTGAGTCGACTCAAAAGCAGATGGGACGGAATCCATATTCCACCCGGCTCCACTGGCCCCTCCTTTCCCCCCTCCACAGCATGTGCATTGCAACTAGCTGAATTTGCTCAACCTGAATTTGCGTTAAACATGGCACGTTACAACAACAATTTGCTCACCTGAATTGCAGCGTCTCCCCATTTCGAACTGCATGAGGGCGAGGAGAGGAGAGGAGAGAAGAGAAGAGAAGAGAAGAGAAGAGAAGAGAAGAGAAGAGAAGAGAAGAGAGGGCGAGGCATGGGAAGGACGGGGCATGGGAAGGACGGGGCATGGGAAGGACGGGGCATGGGAAGGACGGGGCATGGGAAGGACGGGGCATGGGAAGGACGGGGCATGGGAAGGACGGGGCATGGGAAGGACGGGGCATGGGAAGGACGGGGCATGGGAAGGTCGAGACGTGGAAAGGACGAGACATGGAAAGGATGAGACAACCGACGGACCTCATTTGTGCGAGCATGGTTCGCCCCTCCCAGTATCTCTGTCACACCAACACATGCCACGGGTAAAACAAAAAGGGCCACGGTCAGACCAGAGGAGGAACTTGTGTATGGTACGGTACGGTTTCACAAGCACACACAGCGCAAACCAGAACGCGACAAACTTTCTGGCGCAACTGTTGCCACATGGGAGCCAACCCCTCGGCTTGCCTTTAGTTTGTCAATTTCCTTGTCAGTCCGTCACGTTTTGTGTCAAAAGCTTGCCTGAGTGGCTTACCGCGTAGCTGAGATTGGTGCGAAAAATCAGGACGAACGCGACGGCGCTGCTAAACACGGCATCTGCGACGAGAACGCGCGCAAGAGGAACGCAAAATGAACATTTTTGGAACGTCTCAAAAATCCGCGAGCGCGCACGCATGAGGAAGGGACGCGCTATGGTATAGATTCGAGCAACCAGTCATTTTTGTAGTCGTGGGAAACAGCCACCGGAGGTACTTTGAGGCGCCTCAAAAGTCGCGCGAGGGACGCAAGGGAAGAGCAGATTGGGGCACCGGGTCAACCTCGAGTCGCGGAATACGGCCGGAAAAAAATAGCGTGCCAGCGTCATCGCAAGAAAACGTGCGTCATCTCGCGGAGGATTCGGCGCAGCGCAAGAAACGAGGCTATGACACAGGTGCAGAGGTTCTAGAGTGCACGCCTTACCAAACGAGCAAAGACTGCGCTAGTGCTTGGTAAAGAAGAGAGTGCATTAGGCAGCAGAGATGAGAGGTAAGAGAAGAGGGACAGTGACAGTAGCGGGGGAGTGCGTGAGGGAGCGAGCGAGGAGGGGAGTGATGAGGCGTGACGGAGCGAGGCTCACAGGGGTATGGGTGGAGGAAGAGGTGCTGGGTTCTATCGACGAATATGAACGCGGAAAGAAGTCCGGCGAGAATGGCGCTAGGCAGGGCGAGTAGCGTCGCTCGCAGCCATTGCGAGCCGTAAACTCTCAATAGAAGATTCAATGCTCCGAATCTCTTCTCGTAGCTTATCATCGGGCCTAGTGAAAGCGACGAATTCTAAAGATTAGACAGCGAGGAAAGAGAGCCAAGTGAAAGCGACAAAATCTAAGGAATCGACAGCTAATATGTAAGGTGTGAATCTGGCAGGCTACATAATCTCGGAAACAAACGAGGCGACGAGCTCTTCGTTCCGAAGTCGTTTAGTGGAGCAGCTGTTTTAGTACCGAAAGCTATGTAGTTGACGAGACAAAATGTGATGAGACGACCTGCCTCTGCTGCTGGCGGTCCTCGGCCTGATCGGTTTGGTTGGTTTGAAAGATGTTGAGTTGTGTTTCTGGCGGTTGGTATGCTGACCTTGGGGTTCGATTCTTGCGGGGCGCGTCAATTGTGTTTCGGTTGCTGCCGAATATGTGTACGCGTTATGTACTGGATCGGTCGCTTACCAGTCAGTGACAAACTATTCTGACCTTGAAAGCACATAGCAGACCCTTGGATGGAAGCTTGCTACAGAATAATCTCCAGCAATAGCCAGTTACTGGCTCAGATACCATGCACTTCGAAGAACACTACAATAAATTACATTGGAGACTAAAATATCCAGTTCTCTTCTAATGGACCGTCCTCCCTACTTAACTAACCTACTTGGCTGTGCTTCTGCCTCCCTACAGGACCCAAAGCAAACAGCCTTCAAATTGCTGAAGGCTGTGGAGTGCCTCAAGCATCTAGATCAGCATCTAGACCATCTACCACTGTCTCTGCTGCCCCGCCACCCCCCCAGCTGTCCGTCAGCAGCAGGAGGATCCTCAGCAGGTCTTCATTTTTCCACGTAGAGCAGCAGGCAGCACCTTGGAGTGCGTCCACTCACTTAATCCACTTCCCAGGTCTCCATTCTTCCACTTAGTTGAGCAGCTCGAGGGGAGCAGCAGGTGGAGAAGCGAAGCAGAGGACGCCTCTGAAGGTCCTCAGTTTTCTCAGGTGGATCGTAGTCTTGGGAACGACTCTCGAACGCTGCTCACACACGAGCTGGCAGCAGCGAGAAATCGCTGCGCAGTCACAGAGGCAGCAGCACCTGCAGCAGCCATGGCAGCAGCGGTGGCAGCAGCAGGCGAGCCACAGACCCCACAGCACCCACCCTCCATGTCAGCCTCGGCCCGAACCTTTTCTCCAGGCTTGGCGCCGCACAGCACATCGACAACGCAGTCCTTGGCACTCACTCCCAGCTTCTCCTCCAATCCTTTCTTCACCGTCAGCGGCCGGTGCTTAGCTAAAAGCCACTCCATTTCCTTCTCATCAATGTGTGTAAACAACCCATCCGCAGGGAAAACACTTCTCGAAAACGCTGTAACAAGCCGCTCGTTAAACTTATGATGGAGGTACACCACGGGGAGATCGTTTGGGTCGAAGCGAAACGGCTCTTCAATTTCTCTTGCCACTTCATTGAGAAGATAGAAGGAGAAGACGGAGAGCAGGGTGATTGCTGAAGCGAGGAAGGGGTCGGCGAGCCAGTCGGCCATAAGGAGGGGAATTACAAGGGCGTTGATGTGCAGGAGCAGAGCGACGCACTGCGCGAAGGGGAAGGGGAAGGGCGTGTTCACTATCTTGAGCGCGTTCTCGTACCCCAGCATGCCGTCTGGCGGGAAGGACGAAAAGGGGGAGGGAGGGAACACAGGTTGGGAAAAATTGGGAGGTAAGGAAAAGGACGTGATTCCGCATGTTGTTGTTGTTGTTTTTTTTTTTTTTTTTTTTTTTTTTTTTTTTTTCTCCCCTGGGCACCCAGAAACGGCCATTTCCTTACCTGACAGCACTTGGTATATTCTGGAGACGATAGGGGCGTCTTGGGAAATCCCTCCCGCCATGCGGCGAGCCACGAGCGCGTGGTGCAGCCAGCACATCACCAGGTACACACGGTCGCGGGAAGGTTCAAGGATGCTGCACTCCGTGGGGTTCACCCCCCCCAGCACTGCCAGCGGCAGCGCCCGCCAGTACTTCTCCAGGTGGGGGCGGTGGGCTCTCAAGAACACCAAAGACTTGTTTCCGCGCACTCGGTTCCACTCCTCCACCTGATCCGCGTCCACTGGCGGCTCTGGTGGGATGTCCATGAAACGTCCTGTGCAGCAGCAGTAGAGAGGCAGAGAGGGAGAGGGGCAGAGAGGAAAGCAAATGGAGGGGCCACAAGAATGGTTCCACTCCTCCACCTGATCCGCGTCCACGGGCGGCTCTGGTGGGATGTGCATGAATCTACCTGCGTGGGAGAGAGAGACGGAGGGGCAGAGAAGCAGAGCGAGGCAGAGGGGAATCTGATTATGAGGCGGCTATCGATCCACTCCTCCACCTGATCCGAGTCCACTGGCGGCTCTGGTGGGATGTCCATGAAACGACCTGCATGGGCGCGAGAGAAAGAAAGAGAGGTAATCAGATTGATTCATGCGCCTTAAGAAAATAAGTTTGACGGGGAAGGTGAAGTCAAAGCAGGAAACACAGCAAACATGTGGAGCAACGGTGAAAGGCAGGGAGACGAAGCGCGCACCATAAGTTAAGTTGCTGAGGTACGAGTCTCCTCTTAGTCTCTGTTCCACACAGATGACGATCAGAGGGATGGGATGGGATGGGATGGGGTGGGATGGGATGAGACACCGGGGGAGAGAATAAGTCCCATGGACAAGTGTGAGGTGGGGAGGAGAGCACAGGAAGCATTGCAATGAGCTAGGGTTCAGAATGCGCGAGACTCTAAGCGAGAGATACAGCAGAAGCATCTCTGCTGTGTCCAATACCCTGCATGCTTTCGAATCGACTCAAAAGAAGCCCCTGCATGCTGTATGCAGATGGTGTTGATGCCCATGCTTGAGAAAAGCCATGAGGCAATACCTGCATCGCAAGCGCATGCATGAGGCTCATGGTGTGCACAAACTCAGAGCGGAATCGAATCCCGCCCGGCACCGACTCCTCGGCTCCCTCGTCAAACGATATCACCTGCAAAGAGGGCGAGGAGAGGGGGAAAGGGAGGTGTAAGCAAGGCATTGTGAACATGTGGTCTGGTGGGAGAGAGAACAGAAAACAAGAACAATAACAATAACAAAAGAACCAACCAAATTGCAGATGGCAAACAGTGGTGGCTCACCTGGGTCGCGGCATCTCCCCATTTGGAACTGCAGAGCACGAGAGATAAGTGAGAGGGAGGGAGAGGGGGGGGAGGGAAAGGGAGAGGGAGAGGAAGATAGTTGAGACCGATGCACGATTCGAGCTGCACAGCGCCCCATTTCGAGGTGCACAGCGCACGACACAGGGGGAGGGCAGACGAATGGTGGAACGGAATCTCTATAAACCAAATGAAACGGAAGGTTGAATGGAGCGAAGCCTATGCGAGTGGCACGGCAGGGGAGGATTGCGAGAAGGACGGGACGACGGACGGACCTCATTTGCGCAATCATTGTTCTACCCTCCCAGTATCTCTGCCAACCAAAAGGGGTCGGAAAGTAAGTTAGACGTTAGGCGCACTGCGAACGCAAGCCGGGACAAGCAGTGCGAGCCCGTGAGGGCCCGAAAGCAAGGAGAAAACTTCAGGCAGGCAGGCTTACCGCGTAGCTGAGGTTGGTGCGGAAGATGAGGATGAAGGCGACGACGCCGCTGAATACCGCATCTGCGGTAGAAAACAGGGGTCGCACCAGGAGGAGGCACGAGGGTCGGAAGGGAGTGAAGATTCAGGCCACTGCCAAATCCCAGCTTCTGGGAAAGAAGAGTACAAAAATGAGTGAATTCAGCAGCGAGGCGTCTTTGGGTGGCCATGCAGAGTGATTTTGTTGAGGATTCTCTAGTTTAATCGTAGATTCTTCGGGGAGAGGGTGTGAGGGAAGGAGGGGAGAGAGAGAGTGAGGCTTACAGGGGTATGGATGGAGAAATAGGTGCTGGTTTCTATCGACGAATATGAATGCGGAGAGGAGACCTGCGAGAATGGCGCTGGGCAGGGCGAGAAGCACCGCTCTCGGCCATTGCGAGCCGTAGAATCTCAACAGGAGATTTAACGCTCCGAATCTCTTCTCGTAGCTTATCATCGCAACTGACGAAAAGGCCTAGTCTCACCGACGAGATTTATAATCAAGCTTATATAAAGGAGGTGTGAATGCAGCAGATACCACTAATTTGGAAACAAACAGCATCCATAGCTATTTGTTCTACAGCCTTACGGGAGCAGCTCGTTACCTACTGCCAGCGTTGCTGCTGAGCTGTTCTTCGGATTGTTCGGTTTGGTTGGTTCAATAGTTGTTGAAATGTGTTGCTTACGGTTAGTGGTGGTTGGGTGGCTGACCTTGGGACTGGGGTTGATTCCACGCGAGGCGTGTCCCTTGTGTTTTGTTTCGCTTCATTTTTGTTGCTTTGCTGCCGTGTCAGCCAGCCAAAAGTTCAAGTTTCACGTTACGTACGGACCAACCTCGAGGGACTTCACCAATCCCAGGAGCTTGAATGGGACGAAACGATAGACCAATAGCAACTGGAAGCGCGTCGTGCGGCTGACGTGGATGATTGGGCAGAAGCCCCATGGATGAGTGTTGCAGAGTACAGCATCCGCATTGGCCTCAGAATGCATAGTACCTTCTGGCACAACACGTGACACCAATTCTGTTGATTTCATGATGCGGAATGGACGTCTGTTCAGTTTGACGCCCCATGCACAAAGCCCATGTAAAACTGCACTGGCAATGGACCAAGAGCCAGCTGGTAGCTGAGATACATCACTTTCTATGGTGGACCCATTAAATTTAATGATGACCTAGATGGTACATTGTTCCATACTTAAGCCCTAGCTATCCTACTTCTCTATGATTCTAGCTTCCTAGCTTCCACCAGCTCTTCTAGAGGACCCAAACTTCAAACAGCCTTCATATTGCTGAAGGCTGTGCGCCTCAAGATCAGCTAGCACTATACCTGCTCATCCAACTGCTTGTCAGCAGCGGGACAGGGGGAGCCTGTGAAGGTCCTTGCTGGTTCAGGTGGACCGTAGTCTGGGGAAAGACTCCCTAACGCTGCTCACACACGAGCTGGCAGGAGGACCCTCCACGGTAGAGCTTCAGGCGTCGCCGCTGATGATGTTGATTGCTTCAGGTGGACCGTAGTCTCGGGAACGACTCTCGAACGCTGCTCACACACGAGCTGGCAGCAGCGAGGAACTGCTGCGCAGCCACAGAGGCAGCAGCACTTGCAGCAGCAGCGCTGGCAGCGGCAGCTGCAGGTGCCCCTCCCACCCCACAGCACCCACCCTCCGAACCAGCCTCGGCCCGGGCCTTCTCTCCAAGCTTGTCGCCGCACAGCACATCGATAACACAGTCCTTGGCACCCACCTTCTCATCCACTACCTTCACCACTGTCACCGGCCGGTGCTTAGCTAAAAGCCACGCCATCTCCTTCTCATCAATGTGCGTAAACAGTCCGTCCGCGGGAAACACGCTTCGTGAAAACGCCGTGACAAGCCGCTCGTTGAACTTATGATGGAGGTAAACCACTGGGAGATCATTTGGGTCGAACCGGAATGGTTCTTCAATTTCTCTCGCCACTTCGTTGAGAAGATAGAAGGAGAAGACGGAGAGAAAGGTGATTGCAGATGCTAGGTAGGGGTCTGCTAGCCAGTCGGCCATGAGGAGCGGGATGATGAGGGCGTTGATGTGCAGGAGGAGAGCCACGCACTGTGCGAAGGGGAAGGGGAAGGGCGTGTTCACTATCTTGAGTGCGTTTTCATACCCCAGCATGCCGTCTGGTGAAGGGGAGGGAGTGGGTGGGTGAGGGGATGAGGGGAAGGAGGGAAGCAGGGTTGGTTGGAAGGATAAGAGCTAAGGATGAGGATGTGGCAAGAAAAAGCAACAGTGCATCCAACAGTTTTTTTTGTTTTTGTTTTTTTTTTTTTTTTTTTTTTTTCTGGGCTTAAAAAAAATAGAAGGAATACAACTACTCCCTCACCTGACAACACTTGGTATATTCTGGACACGATAGGGGCGTCCTGTGAGATCCCTCCCGCCATGCGGCGAGCCACGAGCGCGCGGTGCAGCCAGCACATCACCAGGTACACACGGTCGCGGGAAGGTTCCAGGATGCTGCACTCCGTGGGGTTCACCCCCCCCAGCACTGCCAGCGGCAGCGCCCGCCAGTACTTCTCCAGGTGGGGGCGGTGGGCTCTCAGGAAGACCAAAGACTTGTTTCCGCGCACTCGGTTCCACTCCTCCACCTGATCCGCGTCCACTGGCGGCTCTGGTGGGATGTCCATGAAACGACCTGCATGGGCGAGAGAGGAGAGGAAAAGAGGTAATCAGATTATGAAGGTGTCGTATGACTTGAATCAAAACAACGGAGAAGGGAAAGTCGAAGCATGAGTTTTTAGGCGCCTAGCAAATCGGAAGCAAGAACCCCGGCAAACATGTGAGCAACGATGAAGGGCAGGGAGACAAAGCACGCACCATAAGTTAAGTTGCTCAGGTAGGAGTCCCCCCTTAGTCTCTGCTCCGCACGGATATCAGACAGGGCGATGGAAAGGAGTGGGAGGTGAGAGGGGAAAGAGAATAAGTCGCACAGACAAGAGAGAGACAGTGATAGAGAGAAAAGGAAGGCTTGCAGCGAGCAAGTGTTTAGCGCGGGCAGAAGTGCGGGCGTGTGCATGGATTCGCAGGTTGCTAATTCACAAGCCATGCTGCATACCTGCAGCGCGAGCGCGCACATGAGGCTCATGGTGTTTACAAAAGGCACGCTGCTTGCTTGTAAAGCCGGTGCGTGCAAGAGAGTCACGGCGTGGGTACTGACGAGGCGTGAGTCAATACCTGCAGCGCGAGCGCATGCATGAGGCTCATGGTGTGCACAAACTCGGAGCGGAACCGAATCCCCCCCGGCACCGGCTCTTTGGCTCCCTCGTCAAACGATATCACCTGCGGAAGGCGAGGCGGGAAAAGCGGGAACCAGACGGACAGACGGAAGGAATCGGGAGGGAGATTAGCCGGGTTGGGCGAGTCCAAAGCAATGCGAACTTGGGCGAGGAATGTGTGCGCTAGGTGCGAGCAGGCGTGCGAGCACAACGATCGAAGCTGGACGGCAAAATGGTTGAAATAGGGGAGAGAGAGTATAGAATGATAAAAAGCGACTGCGAATTGCAGCAGCGATGGCTCACCTGGATTGCGGCGTCTCCCCATTTCGAGCTGCACAACACGAGAGAGAAAGAAAGGGAGAGGGAGAGGGAGAGGAAGAGGGAGAGGGAGAGGGAGAAAGAGAGGGAGAGGGAGTGTTGAGACGAAGCGGAAAAACAAGGTTTAAAAAAAAATAACGAAACGGGTCGGAAGATAAAACGGGGCGAAGGCTATGCGAGTGGCGCGGCAGGGAAGGACAAGACGACAAACGGACCTCATTTGTGCGAGCATTGTTCGCCCCTCCCAGTATCTCTGCCACACCAACACACGCCCCAAACAGAAAGAAGGAACCGAGAAGAATGATTGGAGTTAAGAGCATTAAAAACGCAAGCTGGAACGAAAACTGTGAGTATGCGACGGTGCGGAAAGCCAACGACTGCTTTCAATCGGAATTAAAAACATCTAGCACGTAAGCGGCTAGAATTCCGACTCGAAGATACTCCTTCTAAGCCATTCAATCCTCGTTCAGTATTTGTTTTCATGCTCCGCAAAATCCGTCGAATTGTTTGTCGCGTTAATTCGTCGAGCGGTCTCATCCCGCCGTCAAGCTCCGGTCTAGCGGGCTTACCGCGTAGCTGAGATTGGTGCGGAAGATGAGGATGAAGGCGACGACGCCGCTGAATACGGCATCTGCGGTGGAACATCCGGGACGCACGCACGAGGAAGGAAGGCACGAGATAAGGGACGAGGAACGAGCACGAGGGACGCAAAAGAGGTAGATTTGAGGGGCCGTGCAGTACGCAGAATGAGATTGTTGAGGATCCTAATTATCTCTCAGAATTTTTAGATTGGAGGGTGTGAGGGAAGGTGGGCGGGGAGGGAGCGAGGCTCACAGGGGTATGGGTGGAGGAAGAGGTGTTGAGTTTTATCGACGAATATAAACGCGGAGAGAAGCCCGGCGAGAATGGCGCTGGGCAGGGCGAGTAGCGTCGCTCGAGGCCATTGCGAGCCGTAGAATCTCAAAAGTAGATTGAACGCTCCGAATCTCTTCTCGTAGTTTATCATGGCTGCGAGTCAGTAGAAGCCTGATAAGAGAGGTGAGTGCGAGAGAGCAGAGCCAATATGAGATGTGAATTCAGCAGATGACCAAGGGTGGCAAACAGCTAGTCGGGAGTTCGTCTCCTAATAAATAGATATTTGTCAGGCAGGACCGCCTGTCGACGGCTTACAAGCACATATATTTTTATAGATCCTACTCGGCAATCCCTACGGCTGGTTTGTTAGCTGGTTGATTGGCTGGTTACAGCTTACATTTGGTTGGTGTGTGTTGGTTGGTGGTCCCGGCAGCAATTCATCTATGAGCGTTAGGTGCAGTCACTGTATTTTGGTGGCTGCCCGAGCTCCCCGGGTCTGCTCTCGGAACACTAGTGGTGTGGTCTGGTCTGGTGTGGTCTCCCCTGGCCAGTCAATGGACTGCCCGATCTCTTCTGAGCCTGTCGCGTCCCCGAATCCCGAACCATCTTCAACATGAATGTATCTTCAAGTCTCTCAATTCAACCTGCCCTTCGTATACGGGCATCGCTAAACTCCTGAACATGAGGGAAGTCCCAGTCGGTTTGCTGACGGGATTTGTTCGCTTGTAATGTTTTGCTATGCCCGTACCGAACGAAACCCACATCGGACCAGCCATCCATGGCAGGTAATCGCGTCGCGCCGCTCTCGTGGCGGCTGACGTTAAATTTTCGGCGCAGATTTCCGCAGCTGTGTGGATGTCTGTGACAGAGAGCCATCAACCATTGCTCGAGCCGGAATTCCAGGGTGACGTGGGGCTGACACGCGGGAGGGACGCGCTGGAACTGAGGAGTCACCGATCTCCAATCGTAGAGGAGATTCACTCGCTTGATTCACTCGTTGGATGGTTTGAATCTCAAGGGGGACTTGTACTGTAGGGCAAGGTCCAGCCCCGCCCTTGAAAGCCTGGAAAGTTCCTCCAACCGAATGATGTCGCTCAGCCAGTCGTTCGGAGAACGATAACATCGCACGCGGTGAGGAGGTTCCGCTGCTGCGACGAAGGATGCCAGCCGAACGATTGACGACGTCTGTGACGACGTCTCTGTTAGTCGCAGTGGCAGCGGGACGGCAAGGTGTGACAGTTGCCTCCATTAGGGGTGTCACGCGCTTACGCACAAAAGTCTCTTCGCAGTACAATTACGTAATGTCTGGAAGCTATGGTATCTATTCTGTGGTAGTAGTTGAAATTGTCTGACAAGCTTGATTCAATCAGTAGGTCTAAGAGGAAACAACATTGTGTAATGCTAGGTAGACAGGCAGAGTCTATTGGCTACGCCTACCACACGCATGGGGTACAAAAACTGCTGCCCCAATTCTTACTTTCAGTTACTAGTACACCGATATAGAATCCTGGTACACTTGCCAAGTTCGCTAGCACCAAATGTTGGTTCACTTACAAAAGAAATCTGCACTCAGCTGCCACTCTTCTCAGGCTGCACCTGTTCCACCCGCACCATCTGCCCCTGGTGCAGCGGATGAAGACCCTCCTGTGAGTTGAATTCAACAGAAACACATCCCCACACCACCTTCAGAACACGGGTGCACCTACCAAAACAGCGGAAACCACAAAACTCGAAAAGGGTGTAGGCGGTGGGCATATTACCTGCAGCTCCCCTGCCTCGGCCACGCCCGCGCGGGCTGCCTGTCCCTCGTCCAGCTGTCTGCACAAGGCTGATCACTCGTGTGCCCCGGCCCTGCCCAAGGGGTGTATGCACAGGGCATGTCCATGGATGGCGGGAAATGGGGAGTGGAAGGGATAACAGGTGTAACGTGTGAGAGTGCGTGCGTGAGTGCGTGCGTGCGTGCGTGCGTGCGTGCGTGCGTGAGTGCGTGAGTGCGTGCGTGCATGACACAAGAGTCAAACCACATCAGAGCTGCTCCTGAAGAAACAGGCTCCATTCAGACACACATAAACGAGCATCAACAAATCCACAAGCCGACACGGGTCACATCTCACTCACCCTTGCACCTCGACCGCGGCGGGGAGATGTGGCGGCACCAAACCGGGCCTGCCTGGCAGCAGCGCGCTGAGCCGCCTCCCCTTCCCCTGCACCACCCCCCTCTCCCGCCTCCCCACGCCCTCCCCCTCGCCCTGCCGTTGCTGCCGCCACTGCTGCCGCCCTGCCTCTCAGCCCTGCTGTCGACCTCCTGGGTCGCGAAGCCATTCCTGCTGTAGCCGTCTCTGCTGTGCCTGTTCCTGCTGTGGCTGTTCCTCCTGTAGCTGCTCCTGCTGTGCCCACCCCTGTACCCGGCTGCTGTGTTGCTGCTCCCTCCACTGCCGCTGTTCCACCAGCAGTACCAGCAGCACCGGCAGTACCAGCAATGGCATCGGTAGTGGCAATTGTTGCAGCTCCAATAGAAGCGGGAGCAGCAGGCACTGCAGCAGAGGTATCCCAAGGAGAAAGAGAAACATCAGGTGCCCCTTCAGGTGCTGCAGCAGGTGGGCCTTCAGGTGCTGGCACCTGTCCACCCGCCTCTGTTGCTGCTCCCCCAGCAGCTTCTGCAGCAGCACCGCCAGACTCCCCAAGTCCACCCTCCTCCTGCTGCTGCAGCCCCTCCCCTGCTTTACCCTCCCCCTCCCCCCCGCCCTCCACTTCCATTCCCCCCTCCTCCCCTGCATCCGCCATCTCATGCTCATCTCCCCCTCCCCCCCTCCCCTCCCCCCCTCCCCTCCCCCTTCCCCTCCCCCCCTCCGCTCCCGCATCCCCTTCCCCCTCCCCCTCAAGCATACCACCTTCCCCTTCATCCTCCTCATGCCCGCCCTCCTCCCCCTCCCCGTCCGCCCCCTCCCCCATGGCCTCATCTCCCTCCTCCCCATCCCCCATGCCATGCTCCCCCCCATCCTCTTCCTCCCCCAAACCCTCCACGTGAATCTCCGGAACTTCTGCTCCCGCCCCTGTCTCTGCTGCCCCACCTGTATCCCCAGCGCCCATCCCTTCCCCCTCCCCGTCTCCTTCTGCCCCTGTGCTATCACCACCTGCCGCCTCCTCTGGTGCCCCTTCTCCGTTTGGGCCTTCCCCAGTTTGCCCTTCCCCAGGCACGAGAGCAGCAGATTCACCTGCCCCTGTGGGGGTAAGTGGAGGGGTGGGGGTGGGTGAGCGGGGGGGAGTGGCAGGAACAGCAGCAGCATCATCACTTGCACCACCTGCAGCATCAGCAGCACCAGTGGCACCTTCCCCTCCTGCTCCTTGCCCTTGTGTTGCTGGTGCTGGTGCTACTTCCTGGCCCCCTGCTGCTCCCAACGGCACACCCTCCCCTGCTCCTTCCACACCTGCGCCCTGCTCTCCCTGCTTCTGCTTCTCCTCTGCCCCTTCTCCTGCCGCTTCCCCACCTGCCTCGCCCGCCAACCCCACTTCATCGCTTTGCACCGCTTCACTCGCCCCTGCGCCCCCCTGCTCCCCACCCTCAACCTCCATCCCACCTGCAGCAGGTGCGGCTTGAACCTCGCCCGCAGGTTCAGCAGGCACAGGTGCAACAATGGCCGGAGCTGCAGGCGCTGGAGCAGCAGCAGAGGCTGAGGGGGCAACAGCGGCAGGAGGAGCAGCAGCAGCAGTATCTGCTGCTGGTGTTGCTGCTGCTGCCGAGGCACTGGTTGCAGCTGGCCCAGGCTGCGCCACAGACGCACCCCCTCCAATTGCTGCTCCTGCTGCTCCTGTTCCTCCTCCTGCTCCTCCGCCTGCTCCTCCTGCTCCCCCTGCTGCGCCCCCAAACGAGGGTCTCATGATCCGCCTGTGCTTCACTGCCCGCCCTCCCCGCCCTGCCCCTGCTCTGCCTCCCCCCCGCCCTGCAGCACCAGACGCCGAACCCGCTGCTCCTTCTCCCCCATCCCCCCCATCGTCACCTTCCTCCCCGCCGTCCCCCTCTCCTTCCGCCTCCACAGCTGCTGGAGCAACAACAGTGGGAGCAGCAGCGGAAGGAGCAACTGCACCTGCCCCAGGAGCAGCTGCAGCAGCAGGAACAACAGCTGCTGGAACTGCTGTTGCTGGCGCAGCTGCAGCAACAGCAGCAGCAGCAGAAGCAGCAGCAGCAGCAGGGGTAGCCGATGCAGCAGGTGTGACAACAGCACCAGCAGCAGCAGGGGCAGCAGCAGCAGTGGCTGACACAGGACCAGCGGCCTTAGCACGAGCCAGAGACTGCATGAGCATGGCACGCAGCTTGCTTGGGTCACTGGCAAATCGAGGTGCAGCGGCAGCTGCAGCAGTACCAGCAGCACGGAGAGGTGACGTGGGTGGAACAGCAGCAGCAGCAGCACTCGGCGCACCAGCAGCAGCAGTGGTGGCGGCAGCAGTAGCAGTGGTAGGAGCAGCAGCAGTGTCAGGGGTGGTGTCCAAAGGCCTAGCTTTCTTCTCAGCCAGACCCTTCACCTCCCCTTCTTCAACGCCCTCCTCTTTCATAACTGCATCCTCCTCCTCCCTCTTCCTCTTCCCCTTCTCCTCTGCCCCACTCACCCCACCAGCTGCCCCCTCCACCTCCATTGCTGCTGCAACCTTAGCCTCAGAAACACCTGGGGCGGCCACGGGCACGCCTGTCTCACCAGCGGCAACAGGAACAGCAGGGACTGGAGCAGCGGCAGCAGGAGCAGCAGAGGGCGCAACTGAGACCGCGGCGGCAGGAAGAGCTGCAACAGGAGCAGCAGTAGCTGCAGGAGCAGTGGCGGGAGCAGCGATAGGAGCAGCAACAGGAGCAGCAGCAGCAGGAGCAGCAGAAGTGGCAGCAGCAGCAGCAGCAGCAGGAGCAACGACACCGCCAGCCTCTGCTGTTTTCTGCATGGCGCCAAAGACAGCATCGTACTCCTGCGATGCTGCCCTCAGCTCTGATACCACTGCCGGCTCCTCAAACGCCTCCTCCTTGCCCTGGGCGGAGAGAGGAGTGCGAGTTGGAAGTAAAACGAGTGTGCGTGTGTGTGTGTACTGGCACGTGACTGTAAGGCAAGAAAGAGACCAAAAAAGCAAGGGCTGAGAGCACGTGAGTGGTAAACGCTCTCTTAGACGACTCAAGAGTCGCCAATGAAATCAATAAACGAAAAGGGAGAGAGAGCGTGGAGGGAAGAAAAAGGAGGAGGAAAACGAAGGGGAAGAGAAGAGAGGGACTGAGAGGGGCGGTCGAGGGGAGACGGGGCACACGTATGGTACCTGGCGTTGCTGCTTGATCCAGTCTTCCACTGCCACCACCCTCACAGAGATGGTCTCGTAACTCTGCACACATACATTGCAACAGGGGGAGAGGAGGGAGGTGTGAGGGGGCGAGAAAGACGGCACTTGTGACAGCTGGTACTGCTGCTTGATCCAGTCTCTTCCACTGCCATCTCAGGTAGGCATGTGTCAGGTACCCCTTAAAGCCTGAGTGTGCGAACTTTGGCTTGTGATTCACACCCACCCACTCACTACCCAACCCACCCATCCACCCTGCCCTCTCCTCCCAGCAGCACCTCCTTGGCGTGCTGAAACGAGTCAGCATTGCTCTTGAGGTTCTCGGTCCCACCAAGCTCCATCCCACCTCACCTGCTACCCACCATCCCACTCTGCCCCACCCAGCCCCACCACCCCAAAACCAACCCCGCCCTGTCTCTGCTCCCAATCGCACCTCCTTGGTGCGCCGAATTGAGTCCGCAATGCTCTTGAGGTTCTTCTTGGTCCCACCGGGTTCCGTTCCAAAAAACACAACTCCATCCAACCCCACCCGATCCCACATAGCGCCCCCAACCCCAACCCCAACCCCACCCAATCCCACCAATCCCAACCATCCCTGATCCCATGCCCACCTCCTTGGCGCGCTGAAACGAGTCGACGATGCTCTTGAGGTTCTTGGTGCGCCGCTCCTTCTCTGCTGCCAGCTGCCTCTGCAGCAACTGCACCCATTCCCACCCAACTGCACTCACTCCCACCACCCTCGACCCCGCCCCTTCCATGCAACCTTGCCCACCTCCTTGGCGCGCTGAAAGGAGTCGACGATGCTCTTGAGGTTCTTGGTGCGCCTCTCCTTCTCTGCTGCCAGCTGCCTCTGCAGCAACTGCACCACCACCCCCCGGGGAGAACGCCCACAGGCCGAGAAGCAGCAAGCAAGAGACGGCCAGGAAAAGAAACGGATTAACACATCGGATCTCCGTCTTGAGTCACCGTATTCAAGAACCACTTCAACAGAAAAGAAAAGAAATGAGAAGAAAGAAAAAAAAGAAGGGGGGGGATTTCAGGCTCTAGCTAACGTCTCATGTTTACCAACTATGTAACTCAAGCCTCCCCCACATGGCTTGGGGTTCTGTCTGAATGGAGGACCCACCTGTTTTGAGACTTCTCAAAACATGGCTTGGGGTTCTGTCTGAATGGAGGACCCACCTGAATCCGGGAGTTCAGGATCCCCTCTGCCACCGCCGCCTGCTGCTTCCCAGAAGCAGCCTCCGCAGCACTCTTCCCCTCCTCCGCCTTCCTGGCCGCTGCACCCGCTGCCACCTGCTCCTGAAGCCTCTTCTCCAGGTCAGCCACTCGTTTCTGAGACGTCTCAGAGGCTGTCTGGAGCTTCTTTTCGAGGTCGGCGATGCGCTTTTCAAGCTCTGCTGCCTTGGTTTTGGCTGCTTCTGCCTCCTTGCTCTGCTGCTCCTTGGCCTGCCGCAGCTCCTCCTTCTCCTTGCTCAGCTGCTCGCCATTGCGCTGCCACGGCGAAAAGGGTCAGACAGGCACACAAACAGGCACAAAAACAGGCACACAAACAGGCACACAAACAGGCACACAAACAGGCACACAAACAGGCACACAAACAGGCACACAAATAGGCACACAAACAGGCACACAAACAGGCACACAAACAGGCACACAAACAGGCACACAAACAGGCACACAAACAGGCACACAAACAGGCACACAAACAGGCACACAAACAGGCACACAAACAGGCACACAAACAGGCACACAAACAGGGCACACAAACAGGCACACAAACAGGGCACACAAACAGGGCACACAAACAGGCACACAAACAGATGCTGAGAACAAACAGATGGTGAGAACTGGGCCTTCTGGTATTGACCCTGAACCTGCACCTAGACCGTGAAAACACTCTAAACCAGCTCTAACACCGCCCAAGAATTGTCAAGTATTGAGAAGTCATGTCAGGGTTTAGGATGACTCGCTTTCAAACGGGCAGGGCCACCATCTGAAAAGCGAGTCATCCTAAGTTCTAACATGACTTTCCAAAACCCGGAAATTTAAGGATAGGGAGGCAAGGAATGCGCACCTTGAATTTGATGGCCGTGTTCCTGAGCTTGGCAAACTCAGTCTTGTGCTTCGCCTGCCATGCACCCCCACCGCATGCACAGTACAAACCGCACCCCACCCCACATACCACAGAACCGCACCCAACACAGCATACACCCCACCCCATCCCACCACACACCACACCCCAGACGCACATTCCACACGCACAAGACAGAGGAACGATACATAGAAATGGTTAACATAACAGCAAAAACGAGAAGCAAACACAGAAAAACGCTTACAAGTTTCATACGCATATCTGCATCTATCTGCCCTCTTCCCGCTCTCCCCTCCCCTCCCACTCTCAACTTCTCACGTTCCACCCACAACCCACATCCCCCAGTCTCCTCCCTCCCTTGCACACCTCGTTTTCATTCGAAGCCTCCAGCTGCTTTCTCAGCTCCTCCCCTCCCACCGTCCTCTCCTTCTCCAGCTTCTCCTGCTCTGCCGCCCTCTTTCCTCCGCCACCCCACTCACCTCGTATGCTTTCGCCGCCTCCAGCTCCTTCTTCAGCTCCTCCCCTCCTGCCGTCCGCTCCTTCTCCACCTTCTCCTTCTCCGCCAGTGCAGCCCGCTGCCTCTGCAATCTGCACCTTTGAGACCTCCCAAGACTCACCTCGTTCTCTTTCGCCGCTTCCAGCTGCTTCCTCAGCTCCTCCCCTCCCGCCGTTCGCTCAATATCCAGCTTCTCCTTCTCCACCACCACTACCCCCACTTTCCTCCCTGCACTCCCCTCAGCCCACTCTCCTCCCCTACTCCACTCACCTCGTTTTCCTTCGCCACTTCCAGCTGCTTCTTCAGCTCCTCCCCTCCTGCCGTCCGCTCCTTCTCCACCTTCTCCTTCTCTGCTGCCAGTGCTGCCAGCTGCGCCTCCAGCCCCGCCAGCTCAGCAGCCGTCCGTTTCTTCTCGGCCTCCTTGTCCTTTTCTGCTGCCTCTGCTGCGGCCTTTGCTGCTGCCAGAGCACCCCTCGCCTCTGAAAGCTCCTGCTCTAGCTGCTCCGCTTGCTTCTGCTCAGGAAAGAAACAAGAAGGAAAGACAACCATTCAGCTATTAAGGCGCCTTAAGAGTCGCTTCTACTGCCTATGCCGCTGCAAGGCCACTCTAAATTGGAAAGGGTTGCAGGAAAAGGAGGAAAGAAACAGCTTTCACCTGCCCTGATCACACTCACCCCCTCACATCTTTGACCTGCAGCTGGTCCTGCAGTCGCTGATACTCCTCCACATCGATCGCCTTACACTTCTCCAGCAGCTGCTGCACTCTGTAACCACATAGCCCTAAAGCCTAGCCTAGAAGAACCCTAAGCGCCAGAACCCTGTGTGTCTCATACCTCTTTGACCTGCAGCTGGTCCTGCAGCCGTTGATACTCCTCCACATCAATCGCTTTGTACTTCTCCAGCAGCTGCTGCACGCGCCGCTGCCACCGCCCCGCCTCCTCCCTTGCACTCTCCACCTCCCTCTTCCCCGCAGCCACCTCCGCCTCCCTCCGCTGCACCGCCGCCTGCAGCGGCCCCACCTGCTGCAGCGCCTGCCGCGCCTTCTCCCGCCACTCGCCCGCATCCGCAAAGTTCCTCTGGCTCTCATCCCTCAGCATCGCGTTGCTCTCTCTCAGCAGATTCACCTGCGCCACTTGGGCTTTAAGCGCCGCAAACTCCCCCTCAGATTGCGCCGTCGCAGCCCCCCGCGCCCGCGCTTCTCTCAGCTGCTGCTGTGCCTCCTGTGCCTCTCTCTCTGCTGCCTCTACCTGTTTCGTCAGCCGCAGCCGCTCCTGCTTCAGCAGAGCCAGCTCCATCTCGGAAGCTTCCTTGGAGCGCCGCAGGAACCGAACCACCTCCTGCAGCTCCGCCAGCCCTCCGTCCTCCCCCACCCCCGCTCCCCCTTCCCCTTCCCCTTGCCCTTCCGCTGCTGCTGCCGTCGCCCCTCCGTCTGCTCCTCCCGCTCCCCCTCCAGCTTCTCCTGTCCCCTCCACTGCTCCAGACACCTTACCCGGCGACGGGGAAGCAACCGATCTCCTCCTCCTCACACCAGGCGAAGCAACCCCACCCGCCTTCCCCGGCGTCCCCACACGCAGCGCCTCGAGCCGGTCCAGCAGAATCACGTTCTGAGCCTCCACCTCCTTTGCCTTCCCCTCTGCAGCAGCCCGTGCAGCCTCCAGCCCCCCCTTGACTGTCTCCCACTCGGCCCGCAGGGAGGTCAGCTCTGCTTCGGCCTTTTCGGCCTTGCTGCACCACTCCCTCTGCCCCGCCTGGGCGGCGTTGAGTGTCTGACTCACGCCGTCCAGCTGGCGAATGGTGTCTGCTTGCAGCACCACCTGGGAGCAGCAGGGGCAGGATGGGGAGGCAAGAGGAGACGCAGGATGGGAGGCGAGAGAAGCCGCAGAGGGAGAGTGCAGGGAAGGTTGGAGGTGGGTGGGTGGGTGGTGTCGGGGGGTGGAGAGGTTGTGAAGAGAAAAAGGGACCGGGACAGAAGAGTTGCAATTGCAAGTTTTCTGAACGGAATGCAAAGGCGTTTGAGCGGGGCACCAACGCTCATGCGGTGGCACCCACCTGTCGCTCATAGTTGGTCTGAGCCTCCCTCCACTTCTGGCGCATCTCCGATGCCTCCTTTGCCTCTGACTCCACCCGCCACTCTATCTCCTCCACCCTCGCCCTGCACACACAGACACATGGACAGGGACAATGGCATAGGGCAGGGGAGTTTTGAGTCGACTCAAAACACACTCCAGCTAAAGGCCTCCGGCTTCCAGCTGGCATCACCAAACGCCCTCTCATGCTCCTCCATCAGTCCTGATGCCGCTGCTGCCGCCACTCTCTCTCCTCCGAGTTGACTTTTGAGTCGACTCAAGTCAACTTTTGAGTCAACTCAAATGCCGCCACTCTATCTCCTCCGCCCGCTTCTCTGCCTCCCTCACCCGCCCCCTCAGCTGTTTCTGTGAAACCTCAAATACACCCCACCACATCCGACTCCACCAAACCCCACCGCACCCGATCCCATCCCACCGCAATTTACCTACCTGAAAGCGTCTCTCTCCACAGCAGCCGCCTCCAGCTTCTTGCTGACATCAGCAAACGCCCTCTCATGCTCCTCCGTGAGCCCTGTTGCCGCCGCCGCAGCATCTGCAGCCCGCTTCTCTGCCTCTTTCACCCGCCCCCTCAGCTCCTCCGCTGCTGCTGCTGCTGCTGCTCGCTCCTTCTCAGCCTCCTCCTTGAACGCGCTGTGCTGCTGCATCATACGCTCTAGTGCTTCCTCGTTAGCCTTTCCAATTGCCTTGTACTGGTGACGGGTGGAGAAACGTGGGGGATAAGAGGAAGAGTGGGATGTGGGAGGCAGAGGAGAAGGGTGGGAATGAAACACACTCACCGTGGCTAGCACCACAAGGACACAACAAAACGAATAGGCATGCAAGAGGGGTGACGTGATAAAAGTGTTGTTTTGAGACGTCTCAACACACTCACAGTGGCTAACACCACAAGGACACAACTAAATGAATAGGCATGCAGAAAGAGGGGGTGGGTGGGTGGGACGTGAGACAGGTGGCAAGCCATGTGACGCTATTTGGAAATTCTGAAGAGGTAGCGAACTATGAAACACCGAATCACAGCACAGCCTCGAATGTGAGCCCTGAGCACCCACCTGAGCCAGGTACCCCTGGGACGCCTCCAGCTCCTCCTTGAGCCGCTGCACCTCCTCCTCTGCCTTGTGCAGCCTTTGAGATGTCTCAAACGAACCCCAAATGCGATGCGAGTCCCCCAAGACACCCACCTGAGCCAGGTACCCCTGGGACGCCTCCAGCTCCTCCTTGAGCCGCTGCACCTCCTCCTCTGCCTTGTGCAGCCTTTGAGATGTCTCAAACGAACCCCAAATGCGATGCGAGTCCCCCAAGACACCCACCTGAGCCAGGTACCCCTGGGACGCCTCCAGCTCCTCCTTGAGCCGCTGCACCTCCTCCTCTGCCTTGTGCAACCGCTCTTCCACGTCCTCCTCCTCCATGCCCTCGCCCTCCTTCCCACCACCACCAGCAGTACCAGCAGCACCAGCACCAGCACCACCAGCTGCCCCAGCCTCCCCAGCTGCCCCAGCACCAGCACCACCACCGCCGGCAGCAGCACTAGCAGCAGCCGCCGCCGCATCCCTCACCGAAGCCGATCTCAAGCTCCTCCCTCCCACACCCCCGCCCGCACCACCAGCAACAGCAGCCGCCGCAACCGCTTCCAACCGCTTCACACCTGCCTGCAGCTCCTCACACCGCGCCTCAGCAGTCTTGGCCTTGGTGACAGCAGCACTGAGCTGCTGCTTGAGCTGCTCCACGTCCTTCCAAGCTGCACTCAGCTTTGCCTCTGCATCTGCTGCTGCCTTGTCCATAGCTTCGACCAAATGGCGAGAATGGTCCCTCTCGGCTTCCAGAGCCCTACTAGCTTCCGCCCACTCGCGCTGCAGGAGGGGAGGAGCAAGGGGATGGGCATAAGGCAGAAATGAGAGGTCTCCACCAGCTGGGGAGAATAGCGCTGAGCTGCTGCTTGAGTTGCTCCACATCCTTCCAAGCGGCACTCAGTTTTGCCTCTGCATCTGCTGCTGCCCTGTCCCTGGCCTCCACCAGGTGTCGCGAGTGGTCCCACTCTGCTTCCAGGGCCCGACTGGCCTCCGCCCACTCGCGCTGCGGAAAGGGAGACACAAGGAGATTGGCACGATAGAAGATGGGAAATAAGAGACGGAGGGGGGTTGCACTGTCCCGAGCAGCCACCAGCTGATAACAGCAGCGCTCAGCTGCTGCTTGAGTTGCTCCACGTCCTTCCACGCTGCACTCAGCCTTGCCTCTGCGTCCGCTGCTGCCCTCTCTCGCCTCCACCAGGTGTCGAGAGTGGTTTCTTTCAGCCTCGAGTGCCCGACTCGCATGCTTGATTTGATTTGCTCTCTTTGTGGACTCATGTGCGCTAAGGGTGTTCTAGAGGCGATTCGAGTCAGTCTTGCGGGATACCCTACTCGTCTCCCTTTTAAAGACTTCCTTCACAAATTTATCGTGCTGGCACCGGAGCTGTGCAGTCAAGATAACAAGATTGCTGTTGGAGCTGGAATTGGGGATACCCAGTTTTTCCAACAAGCATTTAACAGCAATCTTGCTATCTTGACTGCACAGCTCCGGTGCCAACACGATAAATCTGTCAAAGAATGCTCTAAAGGAGAGGCGAGAAGGGTATCCCGCAAGACTGACTCGAATCACCTCTAGAACACCCTGAGCGCACATTCACCCGACTCAAGCTCACCTGCATGTGGTCAACGGACTCTTCAAACCACTTCCTCTCAGCAGCGTGGCCTCGCGGGCAGCTTGGGTGCTCTCTAGTGAGTCCTGAGTCGCCTACAAGCGGTGCATTCTCTCCAACCAAATCAACCAAGTCGACCCAGTTAATGCCCACCTGCATGCGATCAATGGAGTCTTCAAGCCGCTTCCTCTCAGCGGCCCACGTGGCCTCGCGGGCAGCCTGGGTGCTCTCCAGTGAGTCGTGAGCCGCCTGCACGCGATGCATCCTCTCCAGCGCACTCCCCGCCTCCGCTGTCGCCCGCTCCTCTGCTGCCGCAAGCAGAGCCTTCTCTCGCTCCAACACCGATGCCTGTGGAGAAAAGGGCACAGAAATGCGTATAAGAAAGACGGAACAGCTCTCCAGCGCACTCCCCGCCTCCGCTGTCGCCCGCTCCTCTGCTGCTGCCAGGAGGGCCTTCTCTTGCTCCAACACTGATGCCTGCAGGGAGAGAGGCAAAGAGATTCGTATAAATTAGGCTGAACAAGCACCTGCCCCACTCCACTACCACTGCCTCTGGACTCTGCTGCGGCCAGCAGGCTCTCCTCTCATCACACCAGATGAATTTTGCGAGGACTCAGATTGAGCTTTTGAGAATTCTCAAAAGTTCTCTCATTACCACTGACATTTTGCGAGGACTCAGATTGAGCTTTTGAGAATTCTCAAAAGTTCTCTCATTACCACTGACATTTTGCGAGGACTCAGATTGAACTTTTGAGAATTCTCAAAAGTTCTCTCATTACCACTGACATTTTGCGGAGGACTCAGAAAATCACATGCCTGTGGAAAGGGGGCCACACAGAACCCCCCCACCCTCCTCCCCCCCACAATCAAATCAAGCACATTGCAGTGCACACTCAGACACAGCATTCTCTCACCTCAATAGTTGCACGGGTAGCCTTTTCCTCAGCGGCAGCGAGCAGCCTCTCAGCATCCCGCAGCTGCCTCTGGTGCGCCGTCACCGACGCTGCGAACTCACTGCTGCGTGCCACTGCTGCATCTTTCACCTTGCGCTGCGGGGGGGAGAGCGGGAAGAAGGGTAGGGAGGGGAGGAAGCGAGGATGAGGAAGCACTCAGTCAGTAGATTATAGCCCTACTGCAGTATTGTTGCAGTCGAATAATGCTGAAGCAGTACTTCACAAACACACCAATCAGAATCACGATCAAAATCACTATCACAATCACTCAGCGACGCCCTCCTATCGCCATCCCTCCGTCCCATGACACCACATCTCACCTCCTCTTCCAGTGTCTTCTCGAGTGCCTCTGCCTGCTGCTTGGTGAACTGCGCCTCTGCCTCCGCTCGCATGCGCTCCATTCGCGACTCACTCGCCACCTTCCTGTGATTGTGCACGCACCAACACACGCATCCATGCAGCATCCAACCATGCATGCACAGTGCACCCAAGCACACATGCACGCATGCACCCACCCACACACAAACATGCGACACGCATGCACATCACACAAACACCAAAGGTATCAGAAAGCGTTGGCACAAGCACTACTAGCCGAGACGTTACCAGACTAGACACAACTAGGTGCTTGTGCCAACGCTAGTGTGAGACTGTGGCAATTGGGTGCTAGTGCCAATGTCTCTACAGCTAGTGGCGATTGGATGCTCACAGTGTCACCACCTAGCGGGGGCACTACCGTGACACACGCACCTCCTAAGCTTCCTAGCAGGAGTCAATGCAGTCCCCACCTGGCAGCATCGAGAGCCTCCTGCAATTCGTCCATGTGCTGCTTGTGTGAGGTGCGTGGTTGCATGGTGCAATGGCAGCACGGGGGAGTGCTGGTATGGCAGCGTGTGATGGTGTGATGGCATGGTGGTGTGGTGAAGTGCGAACCCCACCTGGCAGCATCAAGGGCCTCCTGCAGTTCGTCCATGTGCTGCTTGCGGTCCTGACGCAGCCTCTCCAGCTCCTCCTGCTCCCATGCCAGGCCGGATGGTGGCATGGTCGCGTGGTAGTGTCGTGGAATGATATGGTGGCATCACATGAAGGACGGTAAGAAACACATGGAAAAACATCAAACACAAAATGGTCAGAAGAAAAAATCGCGAGTGAGGGAGTAGACTGTTCATCCAGCAGAAGCATTCAAACATTCACTCGGTATGCGCAAAGAACTTCGGAAAAAGCATGTCTAGAACAATGAGGAACGGAGGGAGGGGAGCAGAGACACCGAGACAAGGAAGCAGGAGAGTGAGATGATGGGCTGTGGGGTACCTGCGTTGCTGTGTACAGAGTCTTGTAGTCCGGACCTGCCATCGAGGGGGATGGAGCACGAGGGTAGAAACGAGGACAGGCAGCGGCAGAAAAGAGGGCAGGCAGCGGCAGAAGAAAAGGCAAAGAGAAGCAGAGATGAAGCATACATGAAGGGTGGCACACCTTTAGCCCAATGCAGCATATTGAACAGTGAATGGAATGGAACAGCAGCTACTTAACAGAACCTGCTTGGCTATACAGCAAGTGATGATTACTCCATCCAAAATATCCCCTTATGGGAAAAGGCGCAATCGCGAATGGGACTGAATAGGGAGATGCCATCACACGACTCACCACCACTCACCTCACACGAATCAACTCACCATCAGGGGGAGGGGAGGAGAGCATGGGCACGGCAAGCACTCCCTTGGCTGCTGGAGAACCAGCAGCACCGGGGGCAGCAGCAGCGGTGCCTGATGCCAGGGCCCTCACTCGCTGCTGCTGCTCGTCATACAGCATTTTGAACATGTCATGCTGGTGGGGTGAGGGGTGTGGGGGAGAGGAGGACACAATGGGAGAGAGGGTGAACAAGACGCGACGCTTCATGCCATGGCGCGCGCATGCGCTGCTGCTGCTCGTCATACAGCATTTTGAACATGTCGTGCTGGTGGGGTGAGGGGTGGGTTGGAGGAGGTCGATCGAGGGGAGGGGGGAGTAGGAGGTGGTGAGGGGGACATGGGACCAGGAAAACAGGGCGGCGAGTCAACACGGCAACAATAACGTGGAGCATGAGCAGAGGGAGCAAAATGGCAACGGGCAGAGCACTCACAGCAGCCTTGTGGCGCTGCGCCAGCTCCTCCTGCTCCTTGAACATGCCCACCACCCACTCCACCTCCTCGGCGTTTGCTGTTCTGAAAATTTCATGCATTTACTCAAAGGGGAGCAGTACTCACAGCAGCCTTGTGCCTCTGTGCCAGCTCCTCCTGCTCCTTGTACATGCCCACCACCCGCTCCACCTCCTTGGCGTTTGCTGCTGCCCGCCTCTCCAGCTCCTCCTCAAACCGAGCCTGCTCACAGCACAAGCACAAAGTAAATGAATTTGGGGCTCATAGATGGCAGGGGGCATGTGAACTAGACTGAGCAGTGCTGATGAAGGCAGAACCAGCTGGAAGAGATTGAGACTTTGTATTATCCTGACTGTAACACAGTAAACACAAGGCAACTTCCCTCTTCCCAGAAAAAACAGTCGTTCTTTGTATGCCACATGATAGCGCACCTTGACCCGTGGCTCCAGGGAGCTGTATGTAGTCATCCTGCAGCTTCCGCAGGGCATGGCGGAGCGACACATGTTGGCATGAGGTGGCTCTTGCATCGACCCAAGAGTCAGTTCGACCCAAGAGTCAATTTGACCCAAGAGTCAATTCTGTCATGCACACGGTGTTCACATACCTTGACCCGCGGCTCCAGGGTGCTGTAGTCGTCCTGCAGCTTCCTCAGGGCATGGCGGAGCGAAGTGTTGGCCTGCACCAGGCCCCCAATGTCCGTGATGGTCAGCTGCACAGACGGGTAGAGGAAGCGGGGTAGGAAAGGGATCGAGAGAATACAAGGACGATTGTGCAAGGGGCATTCAGCTGCTGCATGGCATGGTGGGACGACGTGTTGGCCTGCACCAGACCCCCAATGTCCGTGATGGTCAGCTGGAGAAATGGGTAGAGGGGGCAGGGCAGGAAGGGTATTTCGGAAGAGTCAACAAACGAACTAAAAGGGGCATTCAGCTGCTGCAGCGAGTGGCGGAGCGAAGTGTTGGCCTGCACCAGACCCCCAATGTCCGTGATGGTCAGCTGGACAAATGGGTAGACGGAGCAGGGCAGGAAGGGGATTGGAAGGGCTTAAACGAGGAGTGTATAAAGGGCACGCAGCTTCTGCAGGGCGTGGCGGAGCGACGTGTTGGCCTGCGCCAGGCCCCCAATGTCCGTGATGGTCAGCTGCACAAACGGACGGGTGGAGGGAGCAGGGAAGGGAGGTTGGAGGGTATTTAACACTGACTGTAACTGGGGCATTCTGATGCAGGGCGTGGCGGAGCGACGTGTTGGCCTGCACCAGACCCCCGATGTCCGTGATGGTCAGCTGCAGAGACGGGTAGGAGGAGCAGGGCAAGAAGGGGTTTGACAACGTTCAGGCGCATCGCAGAGGCGTGCAGCGTTACAGGGGTTACAGGGACAACTGAGCTGTTACAGGGCGCAGCAAAGAGCCGTGTTTGCTTGCATCACGACCAGGGCCCTGATGTCCGTGATGGCTTTTGAGGCGCCTCAAAAATCGATCAGGGACCTGATGACCGTGATGGTCAGTCAGTCCACTGCTGAAGCGCATCGACAGAGCAGGGGGCTTGAGAGAGTTCAGGTGAAGGACCTGCGAGGTTTTCTTAAAAAAAAAAAACATTTTAAACTGCTCCCCCCTCCCCCTCCTCTCTCCCTTCCCCCCTTCCTTCGCTGACCTGCTCCACGGAGACGAAGTCTGACGAGGAGGGCCGTGGCGGGGTGGGCGGAGCAGTGGCTTCGTTATTGGCACGCTGCATGCTCACATCCCTCAGCTCCTTTAGGAGCACCGTCACCTGAGAGGGGTGGATGGAAACAAGAGAAATACAAGGAGGCAAGAGGGAGAAAGAGGTGGTAAAGAAAACAGCAAGAAACAACATAGGCAGGCAAGCAAGACCGATTGAGTTTACTCCAAATACTCCAATTCGATTGTGGTGTTAAGGTTCCTCCTACGGGCAACAAATGGAGCTCTGCTTCTAGGTTGAGGAGGACATATTCACGGATAAGACCCTGACCCACCCACCACCCCATCCTCCACACCCACTGCACCTGGCTCTGCAGGTCTGCCACATCGGTGGACAGCAGGCTCACGTCCCTCTCCTCTTTTGAGGCCCCTCAAAACTCGACCCACCCACCCACCCACCCGCCACTCCCCACCCATTGCCCACTGCACTGCACCGCACCTGGCTCTGCAGGTCTGCCACATCGATGGACAGCAGGCTCACATCCCTCTCCCTGCACGACTTATGAGGCGCATCTAGACTCGACCCACCCAAACCCCGCTCCCCGCTCCCCATCCCCCACACCCACTGCACCTGGCTCTGCAGGTCTGCCACATCGGTGGACAGCAGGCTCACGTCCCTCTCCCTTGCACGCAGCTCCGCCTGATAATGAGACACGATGGATTAAACCGGGCGGCGGGGAGGGGGGGGTGACGTTGGGGCATGAGGTTAAACGTCCCAAAGCATACGCTGCAAGGGAAAGGAACATTGAGAACCGAGGCTGTAGAGTGGACGTCACCTGCAAACATGCAATCATGCACACTCTGAGACCTGAAACCACTTTTGAGGCGCCTCAAAAGTTGTCTCATGTCTCGCGGTTTTTGAGGCGCCTCAAAAGTCGTCTCATGTCTCGCGATTTTTGAGGCGCCTCAAAAGTCGTCTCATGTCTCGCAGTTTTTGAGGCGCCTCGAGAACCATGGCTGTAGAGTGGACGTCACCTGCAAACATGCAATCACGCACGCTCTGAGAACTGAAACCGTCGCAACTGTTTAACTGTTAGCTGATCCGCTGCTTGAAGCCTGCTTGTCCTGCATGGTGTCATATGCACGGGCCATACACACGTGCTGCTGCTGCTACACTCCACTCCACTCCACAGTGACAGAGACCAACTCTCGCTGCATTCGGCAAAAGATGCCTCCTCTGCAGCAGCCTGCTGATCCGCAGGCAGTGCCAGCTTGTCCTGCATGACGTCGTATGCACGTGCCATGCATTCTAACCCCACAAACCTTCTCCACAATCCCTGTTACTTGACTCAAGCACCGCACCGCACCGCAGGCAACTGCTCACCCTGCACTCCGCTAAAGATGCCGCCACAGCAGCCTACTGGTGCGCCGCCAGAGCCAGCTTGTCCTGCATTAAAGTCGTACGCGCCCCAGTTCCCTTCCCTTTCACCTGAGTCAGGAAAAGTTGCTCACCCTGCACTCAGCCAACGATGCTTCCACAGCAGCCTGCTGATCCGCAGCCAGCGCCAGCTTGTCCTGCATGACGTCGTATGCACGGGCCATGCGTGCATGCTGCTCTCGCTCCTCCAGCACCATTCCTGCCTTCTGCTCTATCTCCCTCAACACCTGGTGCGCCGGGGGGGGGGGGGAGGGGGGGTTGGGGTAAGGGGAGAGTGGGTGGGAGGGTGGGTTGTCACACCAAGAACGGGCTGCTCTCGCTCCTCCAGCACCACTCCCCCCTTCTGCTCGATCCCCCTCAACACCTGGTGCGTTTTGTGGGGAGATGTGGTGTGGGGTGGTAAGGGAGGAGAGTGGGTGGGTGGGAGGGTGGGTTGTCCTTCATGGCATCACACATGGGGCCATGCTGCTCACGCTCCTCCAGCACCACCCCTGCCTTCTGCTCTATCTCCCTCAACACCTGGTGCGTGCACGTGTGCATGTGTGTGCATGGAAGAGATTGTGCGTAAGAGGGTGGATTGCAGAATCACCCCAAGGTATGCAGGATACACAAGCCAGCCGACCGGCCGGCCACAGGTTGCAGGCGACTCAAACCAATGGGAGGGGGTACCACCTTAATCAATATATCACTCCTCTTCCCACAAATACTCTTCATCTCTCACCCTGTTGAGCAGGGTCTCTGCTTGTCGCCGCTGCTGCCTCTCGTGGCGCCATGCATCTGCTGCCTCCTCATACTTCTCATACATCGTTGCCATCTGCACACGGACGGACGGGCAGGCATGGAAAGACAATGAGGCCCTTTTTTTATATTTTTTTTAGAGACATATCGAGTCAGCTTGAGAGAATATTTTTTCCTGGTACTCTCGGACACTGTTGCCAGCTGGACTGGACACGTGCATACATGCACGGAGGGAAACATCACACAGGGGCAGAATGAGAGAGAACACACTGATGAGACCGAGGGCGGGCGGAGGAAGGCGAGCATGGAGGTGCAAGGCAGCGCGGGGCTGGCCACAGCGACAAGAAAACACATGCACAAAAAGCACAAGAGTCTCAGAAGTGCAGCACAAGAGTCTCAGAAGTGCAGCACAAGAGTCTCAGAAGTGCAGCATGTAGTTTCACCCACCGTCCAGCCGTCCTTGACGAGATATGACGCGAGCGCCACGCCCGTGACGCCCTGAGGCAGGGCTGGCGGCACACTGCCGCCCCCATGCAGCACTGCTGCCAGCTGCCTGTCCCTGCATGCGTGATGGGGAAGGAGGGGGGGGGGGAGGGAGTGAAGAGGATTGATGAGTGGGGGGTGAAAGGCGAAATATGTGAAAAAGGAAAAGATACAAACAAGCGGCGGAGCACAAAGCTTGAGCATTTCCAGCAAAGGCTGTCATGACACTTGAACAACAGAGTAGCCGGCTAAGGCTTCATTCAAGCCACCAGCACCAGAAGATGCGGTACACAGAACATCCCTCCGCTTTGGCCTTCTGCGAACTGATGCAGGCACTTACAGGGGCTGAATGTGGCCAGAGGCAGCAGGGAGAGCAGCAGGGGTCCAAGCCGCCAGCATCTTTAACCTTCTGCAACCTGATGAAAAGACTTACAGGGGCTGGATGGGGCCAGCAGCAGCAGGGAGAGCAGCAGGCACAAGGTCCAAGCCACCAGCGCCAGCAGCTGCTGCTGCAGCGGCAGCTGCCTCAGTGGCAGCAGCAGCCTTCTTGTTGGCCTCGTCAAGACTCTTCTGCAGCTCATCACAGCGCCTCTGCAGCTCCTGCTGCTGCTTCCCTGCTGCCTCCTCCGCTGCCTTGACCCGACTCTCGCCCTCGTCCTCCACTTGCTTCAGATGATCCTGAGGAAAGCACAGGTGGGGGTGACGCAGATACAGAATGACAGAACGCAAAGTGCCTTTTCAGTCTGATTCAAGGATTTCCGAAAAGGGCACGTGACAGAGGATGAAAATTTGACCCGGTTTCAAACACTGAGTCAAGATTCTTTCAATAGTGGACGGGCGAGAGGATGCATACAATACAAGTTCGAGATGAGAGTTTGGTCAATGTACAGGCATGCGACTGACCTCAAGAGACTTGACAACACCCTTAAGGTCTGCCGCCCGTTCGCCTGCCTCCCCTGCACTCTCCTTGTACAGCTCCACCAGCTTCTTCGCCTGGTGTGGCGAACGGGGGAGAGGGGTGTGTGTGTGTGAGAGAGAGCGTGTGTGTTGGGGCGCGGGAGGGAGCGGCAGAGTTGCTTCTCAAGAGGCGCAACATTCATTTCACCCGCCTCCGCTGCACTCTCCTTGTACAGCTCCACCAGCTTCTTCGCCTGGTGTGGCAAACAGGGGAGAGGGGTGTGTGTGTGTGAGAGTGAGCGTGTGTGTTGGGCCGCGGGAGGGAGCGGCAGAGTTGCTTCTCAAGAGGCGCAACATTCATTTCACCCGCCTCCGCTGCACTCTCCTTGTACAGCTCCACCAGCTTCTTCCCCTGGTGTGTGGTGGGGAGAGGTGGGAGCAGCACGCCAGAAAGAACTCAGGTAAATGCTGGAACATACTGAAGCGTCGCCAACAGACAGCAAATCGTTTGAAAAAGAAAGCACCAGCCAGCCAGGGTCGCGCGTTTTCAACAGCACCCACTACACCTTCGGCAGCAGCACAGCACTCGCACACAACACAACAGCCTCCACAAAAGCACTACAGCTTCACCCGCAGCACTCACAGTCTCCAGTTCGGCCGCCAGCTGGCTCTCGTGAAGCGCCTCCTCCTCTGCTCGCTTCTTCACCTCCTGCAGACAACAACGTCATGGATGGATGGATGGATGGATGGATGGATGGATGGATGGATGGATGGATGGATGGATGGATGGATGGATGGATGGAGTACCACCAGAGCCCCGGCCAGAAAGCACACCACGCATTATGCCAGTGAACAATCACCAACTATCACTCAGTGGTAGCCACGAATGTATCTCTTCAGCTATGTTTGAAGGAAAAGAGAAACGAGTAGAGTAAAAGAGCAAAGAAGCATCTGTTCGGTTGACCCACCTGTTGCAGCTGAGCAACCATCCCCTGCAGCTCCGCCACGCGCGCCTGGGCGCGCGCCTCAGCAGCACGCAGGTCGTCGCGCTCGTGCTCCGCGCCCAGCAGCTTGCTGCGCAGCTCCGCCTCCCCCTCCGCGCGCGCGCGCCTCTCCTCCTGCAGCGCGCCCGCCTTCCCCGCCACGTCCTCCCGCAGCCACGCCAGGTGCTCCTCCAGAATCTCCTTCTCCTGCAGTCACAGTGGAAAACGAGGGACGGAAACGAGGGGGAAAACGAAAATTTAGGAGGGCAGCAGCCTTGAGACCTCTCAAACGCAGCCACGCCAGGTGCTCCTCCAGAATCTCCTTCTCCTGCGCTCACAGTCACACGGAGAAAAAAGTGGGGAACAAACGACCAAGAGCACAGGAACCTTCGAAACGTCTCAAAAGCAGCCAGCCACGCCAGGTGCTCCTCCAGAATCTCCTTCTCCTGAGCCCGGGGGGGAAAGGGAGGGAATAAACGAACAGAACAGCCATGAGGGTCCAGCTGCAGGATCCCATTCTCCTGAGGCCAGGCCACGGGGGAAAAACGATCGGAATAAACGAGAAGCAACCTCGGATACCCGCACTCACGGTCGGATGCCCGCACTCACGGAGATGCTGGAGGAGCTGGGAGATGAACAATAGTTGAGGATGTATAGTATAGTATCGGATTACTGCTGGATGAGACGTGCATACACATGGAAGAAGAAGAGGGACTAGGGACTCGTCTGTCGCACCTGCACGTGGCGGTTAACGGCGGCCTTGCAGCGGGACGCCTCTGCCTCGGCCTTCCTCAGCCGACCCTCCAACTCAGTCCGCGAATCTGTCAGGGAGACCTGAGACAATATCGAACAGAAATGCAATCAAATCGAAATATTCAGTGCACAACACGCGTGCGAAAATTCTAATTTCGCACGAAGCGCCATCAGAGTTGGTCGAATGCAGCCGTAGGCACTGATTACCGCTCTAAACAGGACATCCGACTCAGACTCACGATCTTGTCCAGATACGATTTGAGCGACGCGTTCTTCTCGTCAATCTCGAGGTTCTTCCGCTCGATCACGTCCACAAGGTCCCGCCGACCCGTCTGCGCCTCCGCCAGCTCCGCTTTCAGCCTCTCCCTCTCGCCATCCCCCTGAATCTGCAAAATCGAATAAACAATAAAAACCTTAAACGACCTGAAAGTCCATAGAAGCCAGCCGAAACGTCCGGATAGTAACTATTTCGCGATTCGTAATTTAGGTGACAATGAACCGGCTCAAAATAACTTCACGGATGCGAGGAGCCTGGGAGACATACCCCCTCCAGCTGCAGGCGATGAACCTGCGCCTTAATTTCCGCGAGCTCGGCGGCTTTCTGATCGAGATCCGCGGTGAGGAATCCCTTCTCGCGCTCGAGCTGCGCGTTTTCGTCCGTCACCGCGAGGTACTTCTGCTCGATCAGCGAGCACGTCTGCTCCGCGTTTATCTCCGCTGCATCCGCTTGTGCCTTGTGCGTCTCTATTTGCCGGAGGAGCGAACCTATTTGCTCCTCCGCCTTCCTCGCAACGGCCCTGACATCGCCATCCACCGCCTGCAACTCCTCTTCCGTTAGGAAGAGAGGCATCGTGAAGCAACCAGGGAAGATTCCCAGCGGAAATCAAATCTCAGGCTGAGCGAAATGATACTATCGTAGTTCGTCCCGAAAATTTTGGAAAAGTTCCTAGCCGCATCTAGGCATAGCCACATCTATGCAGAGCCATGAGGAATAGCGTTGAAATAGGAGGTTATGACAGGAGGGACGAAGTAAAAGCCTGAGAAATATCTATGGTTCCCCGGAAAAGGGTTTGAAAACAGGCGTTCCCGCCGATTGTGACTACGACGAGGGTGATTTGCGCTCTGACTGGATTCGTGCTGACACTTTTTCCGACTGCAGGAGAAACACACACGCAAAAAATCCTATTTGTATCTCACTGTGCGCTGTACACTCGTATGATGTGTACACTAGCCTTTATTGTGCTGCTCAATGGAGAGGGTGATCTGTGATGATGCGCTGCGCGACCTCTCGCTCTGTGAAGCGCCAATCCCGAGGCGACCCCAACCACCAGCGCTCTCTCTCCGTCTCTCACTCGCTCCTGCAACACAACTGGCGAGGCGAGGCGACGCCCATAAAAATCTCCATGCAGTACAGATGTTCTGGCTTTGAAGTCCTTCCTAAGAGAGTTCATTTTCCCCGTCGTGTGGATTTTTCGTGTTTGTCCTAGGTGTAGCCCCTCCTCTACAGTCCCGTTTTTAGCGGGAAATTTTGCAGCTTGACTGCGGATCAGTTCCGCAGCCAATCGGAGGGCCCAAATCGAACCAACCCCGGAAAATGTAAGAGAAGGACATTTTGCTTCCATATTTACTTTGGAAGCTATTTCTGATTATTTCTCTTGACCGCGCTTGCTTCTAAATCCCGTCGAGAATTTCACCTCGCGCTCGACGATGACAGGCAAAAACGAACTATATTTCCTTTCATCAAGTCATCAAACATTACCGATTTTGTTTAATCTGCCCGTCTTTCGTGCAACATTGATCAACGGGGAGAACCTTGCGACGAGAAGTTGAATCAAGCGCATTCCGAATGATACGTATATGACAGAAAACAACAACTAGTAGCGAAGCCAAACCGACTTCCATGCAGTTTTACTGAAAATTGGACTATAGGGTCCCGTTTGCCTGGGGTTTGAAGGCTTTTCCACAAAGGCCCGCAGCGCGTGTGTTTTTTACCGGGACTCTAAGCAAGAACATTTGTACCAGGCCCACCCGACGCCTCGGGAATGTAAAACCCAACAGCAACGGCTACTTGCCTCGCTTATCTCGGTTCGGAAACTGAACCCAAGGCACAAAAGTTGAATCGTCGTTCACAGGCCACTTCACTTCAACCTTGGACTTCCGTAATAAGTGGTTGATCACACGTTGCCACTTCGCGTGTAGAGTGAAATTGGCTCATGCACATCCGAGGCCGCGATAGACTCTGATGATAAAAGCGGGTCATGCAAGCCACCAGGCCGTCATGGGCGCAAATGCTGACACGCTGAGACTCTAAGGTGCCATGCACCGTTCCCCTCTGTGCCATCATGCACCGTTCCCCTCTGTGCCATCATGCACCGTTCCCCTCTGTGCCATCATGCACCGTTCCCCTCTGTGCCATCATGCACCGTTCCCCTCTGTGCCATCATGCACCGTTCCCCTCTGTGCCATCATGCACCGTTCCCCTCTGTGCCATCATGCACCGTTCCCCTCTGTGCCATCATGCACCGTTCCCCTCTGTGCCATCATGCACCGTTCCCCTCTGTGCCATCATGCACCGTTCCCCTCTGTGCCATCATGCACCGTTCCCCTCTGTGCCATCATGCACCGTTCCCCTCTGTGCCATCATGCACCGTTCCCCTCTGTGCCATCATGCACCGTTCCCCTCTGTGCCATCATGCACCGTTCCCCTCTGTGCCATCATGCACCGTTCCCCTCTGTGCCATCATGCACCGTTCCCCTCTGTGCCATCATGCACCGTTCCCCTCTGTGCCATCATGCACCGTTCCCCTCTGTGCCATCATGCACCGTTCCCCTCTGTGCCATCATGCACCGTTCCCCTCTGTGCCATCATGCACCGTTCCCCTCTGTGCCATCATGCACCGTTCCCCTCTGTGCCATCATGCACCGTTCCCCTCTGTGCCATCATGCACCGTTCCCCTCTGTGCCATCATGCACCGTTCCCCTCTGTGCCATCATGCACCGTTCCCCTCTGTGCCATCATGCACCGTTCCCCTCTGTGCCATCATGCACCGTTCCCCTCTGTGCCATCATGCACCGTTCCCCTCTGTGCCATCATGCACCGTTCCCCTCTGTGCCATCATGCACCGTTCCCCTCTGTGCCATCATGCACCGTTCCCCTCTGTGCCATCATGCACCGTTCCCCTCTGTGCCATCATGCACCGTTCCCCTCTGTGCCATCATGCACCGTTCCCCTCTGTGCCATCATGCACCGTTCCCCTCTGTGCCATCATGCACCGTTCCCCTCTGTGCCATCATGCACCGTTCCCCTCTGTGCCATCATGCACCGTTCCCCTCTGTGCCATCATGCACCGTTCCCCTCTGTGCCATCATGCACCGTTCCCCTCTGTGCCATCATGCACCGTTCCCCTCTGTGCCATCATGCACCGTTCCCCTCTGTGCCATCATGCACCGTTCCCCTCTGTGCCATCATGCACCGTTCCCCTCTGTGCCATCATGCACCGTTCCCCTCTGTGCCATCATGCACCGTTCCCCTCTGTGCCATCATGCACCGTTCCCCTCTGTGCCATCATGCACCGTTCCCCTCTGTGCCATCATGCACCGTTCCCCTCTGTGCCATCATGCACCGTTCCCCTCTGTGCCATCATGCACCGTTCCCCTCTGTGCCATCATGCACCGTTCCCCTCTGTGCCATCATGCACCGTTCCCCTCTGTGCCATCATGCACCGTTCCCCTCTGTGCCATCATGCACCGTTCCCCTCTGTGCCATCATGCACCGTTCCCCTCTGTGCCATCATGCACCGTTCCCCTCTGTGCCATCATGCACCGTTCCCCTCTGTGCCATCATGCACCGTTCCCCTCTGTGCCATCATGCACCGTTCCCCTCTGTGCCATCATGCACCGTTCCCCTCTGTGCCATCATGCACCGTTCCCCTCTGTGCCATCATGCACCGTTCCCCTCTGTGCCATCATGCACCGTTCCCCTCTGTGCCATCATGCACCGTTCCCCTCTGTGCCATCATGCACCGTTCCCCTCTGTGCCATCATGCACCGTTCCCCTCTGTGCCATCATGCACCGTTCCCCTCTGTGCCATCATGCACCGTTCCCCTCTGTGCCATCATGCACCGTTCCCCTCTGTGCCATCATGCACCGTTCCCCTCTGTGCCATCATGCACCGTTCCCCTCTGTGCCATCATGCACCGTTCTGCTCAGGATGAGTTTTGAGAATTCTCAAAACACGATCCAATCCAATGCACCCCATTCTTCCCCTCTGTGCCATGCCATGCATCGTTCTGCTCAGGTGGGCGACGGTCTGGCTCTGCTGAGCGCCATGGCTTTTGGGTTCCAAATCATTCGGTCGAATCAGTTTGCCAAGCAAGTGCCACCCACTGCGACCCTCGACCTCATCTCCATGCAGGTAGGCTGAGGGGCGCATGAGAGGGACTGGGGGAGCGGATGAGGGGGGATCTAGGGGGCGGATGAGGGGGGATCTAGGGGGCGGATGAGGGGGGATCTAGGGGGCGGATGAGGGGGGGATCTAGGGGGCGGATGAGGAGAGGGGCGGGTGAGAGGGGGGTCATGCGAGATGCTTTCCCTCCCTGCGATCATGTGAGGGGAAGCATTTCGCAGGTGGCCATGCAGTTTTTGGATAAGGGTTGTTGGAGGCAGAGGATTTGGCAGGTGCCTATGATTCCTACTGATAAAATGTTGGTGGTAACGTATAATTAGACGAGAACAGGTGTGCCTTCACATGCTGCAGTGTTGTCTTTTGATCCGAGACATCAGCTCATAACAGGGCTTCGTGTTGTCTATTGATCAGAGACATACACTCATAACAGGGCTTCAACTCGTGCCTGAGCTTTCGTGAGAAATGTTACCTCCAGTGTCCACTCCCCCATCTTTCTGTCTCCCATCACACCAGATATTCACTGTGGCATGCTGTGCTGCCATAGGCCTGGCCATCACCAGCGCCACAGGGCTTCAACCAGACAGCTTAGCACTAGCAGAAACAACTGCAGCAGCAGCAGCAGGGGCGGCCACAGCACCAATTGGTGTCTTCCCATCGCCTGAGGAGCTAACGAGATTAGTGTCACAAGCGAGCACGTGGCCCTGGTTGCAAATGGCGTACACTGGCATTGTTTCTACGGCACTTTGCCTCTGGCTTGAGGTGAGAATTCCCAAAAATCTTCATGTGTGTGAGTGACCGTTAGGCTACCTAATTTGAGATGTTTGTGCTAACAAATTCCGGGTTCTGCTGTTGTTGCTATCCAGATTTTGGCATTCCGGCATGTGGCGGCATCTGATGCGGCAGTGATATACACTCTCGACCCGCTCTATTCCGCCGTTTTGGCTACAATTGTTCTTCATGAAGAGTGGACCACTTTAAGCTATATTGGAGCAGCTATGATTTTTGGTAAGAGGGAACCCATGTATGCTTTGCTGGTGCATTCATCACCCTCCGCTGACTCTACCTATCATTGTGAGACTCACTCTTACCCAAATTTGTTCTGATTTTGCAGGTGGGAGCGTTGTTGTGCAGCTTGGGAATGCAAACGATGATGTTGAGACGAATTAGTTTGTCTTATTGTCTATTTATTGGATGTGAATGTATAATTGCATTCTTGGCAGGGCAATGTTACATTTGTGTTAATTTTAGCATAAGCGAGGGTCAAACAACTTGTAGGGAGTGTTGTTTTAACGGTTCTTCTATACGCACCAGGCAAATCAGCGCCAAGCAAACATAGGTTGCCTTCTGTGCAGAGGTCCCTACAGTTACCGCACTTGCGCGCTTACCGCGCTCGTACACTTACGCACCAGCGCACTTACCGCACCCGCGCACTGACCACAGTTGAACCAGCCGCGCCGCACTTACCGCCAGCCATGCAATCCGTCGCTCAACACTGCTTCGCGGCGCACCGCCAGCTGACGCGCCTGTTCCCACCTTCCGCGTCTTTCTCCGCAAGTGCTCGCCGCGCGACCGCATTCGCGCCAGAGAGGTGTCCAGGGGGCTTGATTGCGGCGAGCGGATATGGCGGGCATAATTTGCCTGCGTTGATTGCGCGGGGCGGGGTGCGCTGCCAGAGCTCGTCTGCGGAAGCTTCCGCAAAGGCGGAGCCGAATGTGAAGGACCTTGCCCTGAAGGCGCGGCTGGCGTTGTCGGCGGAAGAGGTGCTCGGGGGAGGGGAGGGGGAGAGGGGGGAGGGGGGGGGGAAGGGGGGGGGGAAGGGGCGGGGATGTGTGGTGGGGGCGGTGGTCGGTTGGGGATGTAAAAGGATCTTCGGAAAGACCTAGGGGGAGGGATTGTGGGTGCTGAAACCTGATGAGCTGCCAGATTCAGGTGATGGCTCGTTTGCATTTTGTCTGAAGTGCACTCTGAGTCTCAAATGTAATTTGCTTTCGCGTGGGCAGGAGGAGGAGTTTGGCAAGTCTATATCCCGCATAGTAGACTGGTAAGAACGACAAGTACAGTGATTGGTTCTCCTCGCTTACCCATTCTGCCTCACACGTTTACACTCACTCAAGTACCCTGCTTGTGGTATACCCTCCTCACTCACATATGCCCTCCTCACTCACATTATCCCTCCTCACTCACATATTCCCTCCTCACGCACATTCCCTCCTCACTCACACACCCCCTGTAACACTGGCAGGTTTGGGCAGCTACAGCAGGTGGACCTTTCAGACGTGCCTGCAGCCATCCGCGTTGGTAAGGCTACATCTTTGAGTCGCCTCAAATCAGAACACTGTTGTGGCGCCTCAAAAAGCCTTTCAAATATGCCTGCTGTCATTCGTGTCGCTAAGGCTACCCCCCATAACCCCATGGCCTGCATGGTCCATGTCCACTGTCCAAAATACAACCATGCCATGCCATGCCATGCCATCCCTGTTGCTGACCCCTTACCCCTGACCTGGAGGCTGGACCCTCAATTACCGACTCCTGACCCGTCACCCTGACCATTGGACCTTTTCCAGCGGTTCACCTGCAACCCACGTCCCTCCCACTCCCACATCCCACCCCACTCCGATCGTCACAATGCCATGGTCAACGCCAGGAGGGGAGGAGCTGCGGCCGGATAACATGAGGGAGGATGTCGTCGTCGATTTTGAAAACAGGTGAGAGTCGACTCCATGTAACTGAGCTGGCTGGAGCGCGCTTCACTTTCTGAAGCTCCACTTTCTGAAGCTCCACTTTCTTACCACATGCTGCTACAAACCAATCTTTTGCCTTTCTCCAGTGTGTTAGGAACCAGTCATGTGTCGACATGATTGCCAGGCTGTTACAAACTGAATACCGTTGTTTTTCTCAATTGTACACACGATCGTGGCTGTCTGGGCTGCAGGGAGGAAATGCTGAGCCAAGTACCCAAGATGGACGGGCCATTCCTGAAAGTGCCCAACGTTCTGCCCAGCAACTGATCATTCACGGCATGCCATGGGTCATAGTTTTAGTACGGTAGTTGCAGTTTTGCCATGAGGAACTGCTACTGGCACGGGAGGAAGAAGAGAAGACCCTTAGTCTAGGTAGTTAGAGAATGTCATGCTGTCCTGAAACCACAGTTGCTGAGATCATGGTTCAAATGTGCAGTGCAAATGGTCAAGGAGGCGTTTACGGTTGGCTGGGTTGGTTGGTTGGTTGGTGAGTGTGCCATGGCAGCTGCAGATGCAGCAATGTCTCGGCCCACAGAGGAAAGCTTGCTTGTCAGGGCCAGTTCAGTCATGTCAATAAGCAAGCAAGCGAAGAGAACAAGACGTCGTTGCACTGCATCCGACAGACCAGTCCAGTCATGGGTTCGTTCCATGTTCTTGCTGTAGCCAGTGCAAGGCTGTTGTCAAAGCAGCAGCATTATGCCATGGGGTGTTCGGATTCTGCTGTTCTCGTACTAAACTCAATCTATGGCTTTACTAACTTAGTTCCAAAAGCGGAACTCCCCTGCTTTTGTCAGTCCCTGCCATGGTGCTTATGTGTCAGAAGGTTTTTGTCTCTCCTCGCGAGGTGCTTGTTACGTGTGTGCATGTATGCATGCACGTGCCCTGCACTGTCACATGTACCTCAATAGGGCCGTGTGCCTCTCATGCCAGCTTCACCTCACTCTCAGGGTCGTGACCGAGGGCTTGGCCTGTAGCAGTCAAGTCCTCTGCACGCCGCGGCGCAGCAGCAGGCATGTCATGTCATCATGGAGTCGCACAGCACATGCTGCAGGAGGATTCTCCGCCCTGCATGAGTGTTTGTTTGTGCCTTGGCGCCTTCCAGGCAGCCCAGTGCCCACCCCATCCCACCCACGAGTTCTGCAACATGCAGGCCCATCCCACCCACAATCGCACAGCGCAACATAGGGATCTGAGCACACCTAAGAACAGCAACGCATTACTAAGCAGATCATAGCCTAGGGACAAAAGCTGCTGATGCCTTCGACCGTATCTTGCCTCCATATGGTATCACCACAGCAGAGACACTTTGAACACTTACAAGCTGCAAATGGGGCAGCAATGGGGCAGACAGAAGGGAGGGAATAGGAATGAAAAAAGATGGTTTCATGGTGTATTTCCTGTTTGAATTAGACCAGACATAAGCAGAAAGTACAACATAAATAGTGTACTAGGTTCATGGCCGATCGCCATTGTGGAGCAAGCAAGGTGACCGACAAATGTACAGTAGCAGAGGCAGCAGAACCTCCCATCTCACCTACCATGAACAATACGCAGCACTGCTGTTGCTGCCACTGCTCCCCCCACAGCTGCTGCCCGAGACATGGAGGAGAGCAATGGGACATGGAGAGGGAAGGGAGGCGAGGGCAGAAAACAATTTGGTTCAGAAAGACAAGAGGACGGGCCGCTTGAGGACAAGGATGGAGAAAAAAGCAGTGGAAAGACCATAGAGAACTGTATGCAGCTGACAAGAATGCAGCCGACACTGAACAACCAACTTGAGAGGGAACTCGGTTGCACTCGGGTAAGGTGTACTCACTCTTGGATTGGTGCTGCAGCCACCACTGCAGCTGCAATCGATGTTGCAACACACGCTGCCACCACTGGCACCGCTGGCGCCACAGCTGCCCTTGCTGCTGGCTCTGGACAAGAGGTGCAGCACTTCGCTGCTGCTCACTCCTCCACTGATGCCGCAGCAACCACTGCTGCCGCAGCAACCACTGCTACTGGCACCAGTGCTGCTGCTGCTGCCATGCGGCTGCACATGGTGCTGCTGCCATGCGGCTGCTCATGGTGCTGGTTCTAGATAAAAGATGCTGCTCTCCTGCTCTCGTGCACGAGCGCAGAGAAGAGGAGGGGAAAGGAGACGAGGGATCTGAGACAAGTGGCAGGAGGATCTGGCAACACAGAGCATCTGGCAACACAGAGCATCTGGCAACTCAGAGCATCTGGCAACTCAGAGCATCTGGCAACACAGAGCATCTGGCAACACAGAGCATCTGGCAACACAGAGCATCTGGCAACACAGAGCATCTGGCATCACAGAGCATCTGGCAACACAGAGCATCTGGCAACACAGAGCATCAGGCAACACAGCAGCAAACACAAATGGGCATCGTGGAAAGAAAGTAGGCAAGGCAGAACGGCACGCAGAAAGCAGGAAAACTGTGAAAGGAGTAGAGGTATACTGCTTGATCTGATCCACTCAGAACTCACTGTGTCCTTGCCATCGTCCTGCAGATGTTGCAGCCACTCGTGACCCCTGAGTTGCTGCAGCCTCTGGCGTCCACTCGCTGCCGCTTCCCCCCATTTCGCAGGCCGTAAGGCAGGCACATGCACGGGGAGAGAGACAGGCAGCCAAACAACAGCGACGCAACACGGGAGGGTTAGAAGCAGCAGGAGACAAGTGGTGGAGGCAAGGGTAACTCTTGCCTCTGCGCGGCGACACCCTACGACTCATTTCACGGGCCCCCTGCAAGCACCCCCTGGCACGTACCACGCTCCGTCTGCCGCTTTGACGCTCGGCCGCTGTGCCCCTCCTGCACCACGCCTGTGTGCTGCTCCAGGCTGCTCCGTTGCTGCTGCGCCAAGCATTCGCCCCGAGCAGCTCCCTGCTGCTGCCCGTGCTCCTGGTGCTCGTAGTCGCCTGCTGCTGCTGCTGCTGCTGCTGCTGCTGCTGCTGCTGCTGCTGCTGCTGCTGCTACAGTTGTTGCTCTCGTCGCGACCCCCGCCGCGTTGCTGCAGAGAAGAGGAGAGGACAGGAGACGAGAGGTTTGGGAGTTGAGAAGAGTGGCATGAAGACATGGCAGCACAGCTGCAAAGACTCGTGAGCACCGTGGAAGAGTGGTAGACAAGAGAGCAGGAACACAGAATCCAGGAACATGGAGAAACGTGAAATGCACACGGCTTGTCCTGATCCACTCACAACTTCTTGTGTCCTTGCCATGGCGCTGCAGACTCTGCGGCCACTAGTGATCCCTGAGTTGCTGGAGCCACTGGTGACCCCTGAGTTGCTGCGGCCAGTGCCCCTTTGAGTGCTGGAGGTGAGGGGAGAAGGGTGGCAAGGAAGAGGAAGAGAGGCGTGAGGATGTGAAAGAGCAGATGCTAGCTGGAGAAGGGACAAGGACAAAAAGCAACGCACGGTGCATTCACCCTGCTGCTGCATTTACCTCTTGCGGTGAAAGGGAGAGAATCTTGTTTTCTCCACCGATGGGCAGGCAGGTTCACAAGAGCAGTCTGCCACACTCCAGAGCTTGAAGGCTGAGAGGCACACACAGGCATGCACACACGCACACGCACACGCACACATGCACACCCCCACCCCCCCTCCCCCTTCCCCCCACACGCCCATGCACAGTCCCCGTCCACTTGCTGCCATTCCAGTCCGTCTCGCAGGACGTGAGGCACACACGCATGGGGAGAGAGAGAGACAGGCACACAGACGCGGCTCAACAAGGGAGGGTTAGGAGCAGCAGGAGAGGAGGCGAGTGGCAAAGACAAGAACAAGAGACATGACTCTTGCCTCTGCGCGGCGACGCCCTACGACTCATTTCACGGCCCCCCCGCAAGCACCCCCTGGCACGTACCACTTCTCCTCCTTGGCAGAGCCTGCCGCTCCTGCGCCACACATTCGCCCCAAGCAGCACAGCACTCTGCTGCGGCCCGTGCTCCAGACTTCAGACGTTGCTGCTCCATGTTGCTGGTTGTCTGCTGCTGATACCTGCAATAAGAAGGGGCTGTGGCTTGTGAGTTGGGCCAAAAGGAACCTGGGAAGAGTTCAGAGGAGAAAGCAGTGAAGCACATGCAATACAAGCGATGAGCGCTTGGCTCCACAAAAGGCAAAGCGTTCGGAGGAGAAAATACTTGGCCGAAAAGTCAAGGCGCTGTTGCTACTGCACTTTCAACTCACCAGCTCTGCTGAATTCACCAGTGCTGCATTCACCAAAGCTGCTGCCGTGTCTCGGGCAGGAACGAGACCCGCACGCTTGTCACTTCCCGTCCACTCCCTGCCATTCCTCTCCGTCTCACAGGCCATGAGGCACACACACACTAGGGGAGGGGCTCACGCAGACAGAAACAGCGCAACAAGGGAGGGTTAGACGCGACAGGAGAGGAGGCGAGTGGTGGAGGCAAGGGCAACAGATACGACTCTTGCCTTTGCGCGGCGACGCCCTATGAATCTCTTCACGGCCCCCCTGCAAGCACCCCCTGGCACATACCACGCTCCGTCTACCGCTCTCCCACTCCTGCGCCACGCCTTCACTTCACCCGTGCTGCTCCTCATTGTCTCTCGTGCGAGCCAGCAACGGAAGTCCAGTCCGTTCCCCGTCCACTTGCTGCTATTCCCGTCCATCATACACACACATCGGGAGAGAGGTAGCCACAAAGAACGTATGCAACAAGGGAGGGTTAGAAACAGCAACACAGGAGAGTGGCGGAGGCAAGGACGAAAGACACGACTCTTGCCTCTGCGCGGCGACGCTCTACGACTCACTACAATGCCTCCCTGCAAGCAACCCCTGGCACATACCATGCTCTCCCACTCCTGCGCCATGCCTTCACTTGAGGAGGGCTCTTCCTGGCTATCTCTCGTGCAAGCCAGCAACAGAAGACCGCCCATTTCCCGTCCATCTCGCGACCATGAGGCACATACATACACGGGGAGAAAGAGGCACACAAACACATAAACGGTGCAAAAAGAGAGGGTCAGAAGCAGCAACAGGAGAGTGGTGGAGGGAAGGGCAAGAGACACGACTTTTGCCTCTGCGCGGCGACGCCCTACGACTCACTTCAGTGCCCCCTGCAAGTGCTCCCTGGCACGTACCACGCGACCGCCACCGTGTGCGTGCCTATGACGCGCCAATGTGGCGTTGCTTGCTGCCCCTTCTCCTCGCTGAACGGTTGTCTCTCGTGCGAGCGTGCAACGGAAGCCCTGTCCACGTCCATGCCATTCCGCACACAGAAGCAGAGAAAAAGGAAGGATTAGGAGCAGCACGAGAGGAGGCGAGCAGCGGGGGCAAGGGCAATAGACACGACTCTTGCCTCTGCGCGGCGACTTGCTACACGTCCCCCCTGCAAGCAGCCCCTGACACGTACCATGTTCCATTCGTCGCACTGCGCCGTGCTTTCACTTCTCCTCGCTGGGAAGGCTGACTAGAGGCCGTCTCTTGTGCGTGCCAGCATCGGCAGCATCGGCAACCCGCCCGTTCCCCGTCCACTTGCTGCCATTCCGCGTCCGTCTTGCAGGGCGTGAGGCACACTCACGCATGGGGAGAAAGACAGCCACACAGAAACGACACATCAAGTGAGGGTTAGAAACAGCAAGATGTGGGTGGTGGAGGCAAGGGCAAGAGACACGACTGCTGCCTCTGCGCGGCGACGCTCTTGGACTCACTAGACTGCCCCCCTCCAAGCAGCCCCTGCCACGTACCATGCTTTGTCCGCCACTTTCCCGCTCTTGCGCCATGCCTTCACTTAGGCGTGGTCCTCCAGGCTGTCTCTCTTGCGAGCGAGCAACAGAAGCTCCGTCCATTCCCCATCCACTCGCTGCCATAGCCCTCCGCCTTGCAGGCCGTGAGGCACACACACGCATGGGGAGAGAGACACAGCCATGCAGAAGCGATGCAACAAGGGAGGGTTAGAAACAGCAAAACGCAAGTGACAGAGGCAAAAGCAACAGACACGACTCTTGTCTCTGCGCGGCGACGCCCTACGACTCACTTCACTACCCCCATGCAAGCATCCCGTGGCACGTACCGCGCTCGTCCGCTGCTATCCCACTCCTCCACCACGCCTTCACTTCAGGCGTGCTGCTCCAGGTTTCCTCTCGTGCGAGGCAGCAATGAAAGCCCCATCATTCGCCGTCCTCTCGCTGACATTCCCCTCCGTCTTGCAGGCCATAAGGCACACACACACATGGGGAGAGGAACAGCGACACAGAAGCGATGCAACAAGGGAAGGTTAGAGACAGCAAGAGGCGAGTGGCGGGCGCAAAAGTATGAGAAACGACTCTTGCCTCTGCGCGGCGATGCCCTACAACTCACTTCACTGCCCCCCCGCATCAACCCCCTGGCACGTACCACGCTTTGTCCGCCGCTCTCTCACTCTGCTGCTCTCCCACTCTGCTCTCCCACTCTGCTACTCTCCCACTCCTGCGCCACTCCTGAGGCGTGCTTCTCCAGGTTGTCTCTCGTGCTAGCCAGCAACGGAAGCCCGTCCATTCCCCGTCGACTCGCTGCCATTCCCGTCCATCTCGCAGGCCGGAAGGCACACTCACGCATGGGGAGAGTGATAGCCACACAGAAGCAGCGCAACAAGGGAAGGTCAGAAACAACAAGAGGCGAGTGGCGAGCGCAAAAGCAACAGACACAACTCTTGCCTCTGCGCGACGACGCCTTACAAATTCACTTCACTGCCCCCCCGCATGAACCCCCTGGCACGTACCACGCTTTGCCCGCCGCTCTCCCACTCCTGCGCCACGCCTTCACTTGAGGCGTGCTTCTCCAGGTTGTCTCTTGTGCTAGCCAGCGACAGAAATCCTGTCCGTTCCCCGTCCACTCGTTGCCATTCCCGTCCGTCTCGCAGGCCATGAGGCACACACACGCATGGGGAGAGAGACACGCACAAAAAAGCGGTGCAACAAGGGAGGGTCAGTCACAGCAGGTGGAGAGCAGTAAAGCTGCAAACGACAGACACGACTCTTGCCTCTGCGCGGCGACGCCCTACGACTCATTTCACTGCCCCCCTGGAAGCAGCCCCCCTGGCACGTACCACGCTCCGCCCGCTGCTCTGCCGTTCTGCCGCTCCTTGGCTTCAGGCGTGCTGCTCCAGGCTGCTCGGTTGCTGCTGCTGCTGCTGCTGCGGTCGTTGCTCTCGTCCCAATCGCCGCAGCGCAGAGTCGCTGCCTTTAAAATGCTCCTGAAACGCACTCACGCTGCACACTGATGCGTCACACGGCCATTCACGCGAAGGCTCGGAGGCCATGAGGCAGACACGTGCGGAGACGCACGGGTGCATGTCATAAACAGAAACAGAGGCACGAAGAAACAGTTGGTTAGTAACGGTATGAACTGGGAGCGGACTCAGGCAAGGGACGTCAAATTGAGACTCTTGCGTCGACTCAAAAGAGGCGACTTTTGACTTTTGAGTCGACTCAAAAGTCACCACGGTTTGAATTGGGAGCGGACTCAGGCAAGGGACGTCAAACTGAGACTCTTGCGTCGACTCAAAAGAGGTGACTTTTGACTTTTGAGTCGACTCAAAAGTCATCACGGTTTGAATTGGGAGCGGACTCAGGCAAGGGACGCCAAACTGAGACTCTTGCGACCTGCTAAATCTGCTCGCCCCCCAAGAAGCTCTTCCCATCGCACTTACAAGGCCAAGCAAGGTCTTCAATCCTCGTGTGACGGCGGAAACAGCAGCTCCGTCGCTTTGAAGGCGAGAACGGCTGTAACGTTGTTTTGTTGGCGGAAGCAGTAGTGACGTCGCTTTGACAGTGGAAATAGCAGCGACGTTGCGTTGACGAAGGAAACAACAGCAAAGTTTCTTGGACGTCGGAAATGGCAGAGAATATCTTTTTTTACGGCAGGAACAGCAGCGACGTCGCGTCGTAGGTGGAAGGAGCAGGACCTTCGCCGCAACAACCTTGATTTAATGGCGGAAAACAGCGGCTACGTGTTGCATTGATGACGTAAACAGCAGCGACGTTGCTTTGACGGCGAAAAACAGCATGCTGCTGCGACGGTGGAAACAGCAGCCGCATTGCCTTGGCGAAAATAACGTCCATTAACGGCTTGCCATCCGTCCTAACTCGAAAACCTTCTGAACTTGAATTCTTATGCCGTACAAGCCTACTCTTAGCATTAAATCCATCGTGATTGACGGACGAAACCGTCTGAATCTAAAACCCAATCCGCCAGGACTTGACACCCTACTAACTAGTTAACACATCGTGAGCAATTGAGGTAAGCGCAGGTATTGACTAGAGGCTAGTGCGACGAGCAAGCAGCTCACGTAGCTGGACCTGGAGCCCAGAGCGGAGATAAGGAAAGGGCAAGCCTGGAAGATAGTGCAGGTGAAGAAATGGAAGCAACGAGGAGAAGCCAAGGGAACGTTTTGCTTCAACCAAAAGGCGGCAGAATGGCTGAATTCCCGCCAACTTCAGCCATATTTCACCACCACCATTGCCCCTCGTTCCAGACATGCTGCAGCCATTTCGGGCGAGCGAGCAAGAGCTGAAATGGGTGTGAGGTTCGGATCGCCGGAGTGAAGCGGGGATTGGCTGGCCGAGGCGGTGCCAAATTCAGTCAGAGCGTTTTGGAGGGAACCTGGAGGCTCGGTGCAAGTTTGGATGAGGGTTTCGGACGGAACAAAAGTTGCGAAAGAGGAGACAACATTCAAGCAGCATCAGCGTATTGACTTTCGCGCTAGATGCAAGAATTGGAACACAACAAAGAATATGTTCTGATACGCTAAACCTTGTGGCTTACTCCCCATTAAATTACTAGCTTCTTTAAGAAAAATGCCGTAACTCTTAGCTTTGATACATTCCAAAACCGGCTCAAACACTGATTCAGTAGCAAGCACTAGTTAAATGTGGAAAGGCGAGCAAGCTTGTCACGCAGGTAGAAAAGCTTAGCCCGCCGTGCCTTTTTCCTGTCGACAACCTTGATCTCTTTGATGTTGGGAGAGTACCTGCACAAGTGATCACGGCAATATGGGAATGCAATTGCTCAAACAGGGAGGTGACCGAGCAGGGAACAACGCACATAGCATTGACCCAGCAGGAAATCAAGCTTCGTTATACTAAACATGGGAAATACGCACAGGGGGAAGACCATCTCGACGCCGACGCCAGCCATCATCCTGCGAATGCGGAAGGTGGTGTTGATGCCACCATTGCGCCTCGAGATCACAATGCCTCGCACCAGCGACACACGCCTCTTGTTCTCAGGCACTTCCTGCTCAGGGGAGGAGGGTGGAGGGAGGGAGGGGGTGGGGGATTGAAAGAGGGGAAGGAGAAAGGGATGGGAGAAAGAGGGGAGGAGGGGGGATTGGAGGAAGGGGAAGGGGGGATTGGAGGGAGAGAGTGAGGGCAGCGGGGATGAAGAAGGAGCGGGATGGGAGAACGGGGAGTGTGGGGACGTGAGGTAAAGAGCAGGGTGCTTAAACAGAATTGAAGGACTGATAAAGCTGTGAGGAACGGAGGAATAACCCGGCTGTTAACCTGAACTCTAACCCGTGAGTCGCAGACTAGCCCGAGATCTTAGAATATTCTTGCATCTACCTCTTGCGTGCATAAATTCCCGCCTCTTCCTACACGAGACTGAACCCCTCAAAAGCTTTTGCAGATGCGCGACGTCAAATAACCCATGGCGTCTTAAAGTCGGCTTAAAAAGGCAGTGACGCAACATCCCAGCGCGTCTTACCACGCGAAGAGCGAGGACATCGCCAGGCCTGAAGTCTGGGATGTTGCGCTCCTTCCGAAGAGTCTGCGCTACTTCCTGCGTCAACACCTGCAGAGGGACACGATGCAGCACATCACGCATTTAGGCACGGCAACGAGCGTTTCAGCACCAAGCGGTGCGCGAGTCGTCTTCGCATTTGTATGCGTGCACCGGAATGCTGTAGCACACAGAATGGGTGATGCATTACAATACAGTCTGTTCTGGAACATGCGGCAAACCTGCCATCCGTGAACGTGGCCCGCCATCCACATTCATCAAGCGGTTCATGTGGCCCACCAGCAGATCCTGCCACCCGTGCTTAAGACGTCTATAAAAGGGCGATCCGGCACTCACATTCATGAGGTGCTTCATGTGCGGGGGCTTGGCCTTGGCGGGGGCCTCCTCCACCGCCTCAGCGCCGGCCTCCGCGACAGCCTCCTCCGCCTCCGCGGCCTTCGCGCGGACGCTCAGGCGGCTGGCAGCGTGGAACTTGGGGGCTGCTGGAGTTGCACGGCGGGATTCAGGAATCGGTGGCGTCAGAAATGTAGGTACCAACTTGCACTTTAATTTTAAACTTGAGCGCAACTTGGCATTTCCAATAGCAAAAGATCCGAGAACAGAAACGCGAAGGGCTGCGTGGAAAAGGACGTAAAAACGAGGAGGCTAACGCGTTTATCCCGGAACGCAACCGCTTCATAAACCCTGAGCCGCTACGGATACTAGGTTCCATACTAGTGATAGGTGGAATACGAATGGGGGTGGAATAGCGAATAGGGGACCTAAATAGGGTCTAGGTACCTGTAGCGGTGAGGGATTGCGAGAGGCTTCGCCACCATGGGCTGAGCATCGGCGAGGCCGAAGAGGCCAGCCGGTTGGGTGCTCCGAGCTGGGCGCGAGAGACCGCGAGCCTCGGCGCGGACGCCGAGAGAGACGCCTGCGAGGCAATGGGAACGTGACGAGGAGCTTATGAGAAGAACGCGATCTCGCGGGTAAGCTCGTCGTACTATGGAGCATAATGCTAACGTTATCTTAACGGATTACGGAGACCTATAGCGCATCTATGAGCCAGCGTGTAGTGTGTGAAACTAATGACGGTCCGTTTAGACCTACCTGTTGGGTCACAGCAGCCATGGCGCTTCTGAAACAGGCGTACTGCTGATTCAGGTGAGAGAAACAATCAGAAACCTAGCGCTAGTGCTAAGTGAGGGGTAGGGTAGGGAGGGAGAGTATAGGACCGTGGCAAGGGGAGGCAAACGGAGGAGCGCGAAGAGCTGACGGGGTTACCAGAAAGTGGAACTGTTCGCTTGCCTGAATGACGACGGAGTCGGTAAGGTGATGGAACGGGTTACCACATCAAGGTGGATCAAAAGTTGGCTTGCGTGGCGCTGTTGTGTCAGCTGCTCTTGGACCCTGCCTCATCCGTCAACGTACAAAACCCAATCGAGGGGCTATGTACCGTCGATGTTTCTTAGTGACGCATTTCGAGTCGTAGATATATGTGGGTGTTGACGTGTGGGTTTCAAGGCCTCTCATCCTGTCTAGAAAACCTAAGAATTGTCGAAGTTGAGGTTCTGTATATAAACAGGACCTTACAGCATACTACATGTTTTTAAAGCGCGTACGACATGCCTTTCTGGTTCTGAAAGCGTACTAGGTTGAACTGACATATTTGCCAAACAAGCCTACCGTCCCATCTTTCCACATCTCTAGTTTGTTTTTATCACGGCTTCTTTAGTTTACGCCGTTGCCACGGTTCGGCTAGTAGGATTGCATCAATGTTTCATCCAACCAGAGGCGGCGTTCGGGGAGGGAAAGATCGTAAGTTTGTATCCTAGTTGCTAGGTTAAGCGTTTGCCTTGTGAAGACTCGAATGAGTTTAGAATGCTGGAGCCTACTTTCTTGGATCGTTGTTCTTGGTGCCTGATTCCCTCTTTATGCCCTTTCCGTTGGAGAGTGTTTGTCGTTTCCGATCGCAACCCTACATCGCGCAAGGTTGTCGTTGGAGTGTTATTGACGTCCGAGGCGCCTCATCGACGTCGGAGTATATTGTTTATGTACCCTTCTCGACCGTCTCATTTACCAAACCTCGATTGTCGATGCCTGAATATTCTCACTACCACCTTTCGTCTCTACCAGAATTCAAATGGGACGACGTGAAGAGTGACAAGTTCCGGGAGAATTTTCTCGGCCACAGTGTGATGGCGCCTGTCGGCCGCTGGCAGAAAGGTACGCATCTCTTATCCTTGACTGCGCGGGCTGCGTTCACTGGGCTGCATATAGTTCTCTGGACGGATGGAACGCAGTTTACTGGGCTCCAGATAGTCATGCAATCTAGGCTAGGCTAGGCCTTGTGCTCAGTCTATGCGTTCAATCATCCGATGCATCCGTGCTTGTCCAAGGCACCTGAAAGTGACTTGTGCCACCAGGTTTCAGGAGGTGCGGTGGTATACCCTAAATGCTAACCCCTCAACCCGTAAGGGCCTTAGTCAGGGAAGAAATTACCTCGGAGTTCTGCATCCCTTCTCTTTTTATCTTCCTCGTTTGTTTCTTAACTCCACTCCGCCTCTCACCTGCCAACCCTTCTTGCTAACTTACAACAGCCACAACAAGTGTCTGCAGGCTGACATTCTATCCGTATTTGCATCTCTCATCTGGCCCCACCACTGCGCCAGCCCAGGATCTACCGTGGTGCAATTGTTTTCAATAACTTCTCTCTTCTCCCCCGTCACCATGACATCAGGCAAGGACCTGCAGTGGTACACTCGGACAAAGCCCGGGGACAAGGCAGCGGCGAAAGCAGCTGCGGAAGAGCAGCTGAAGGCGGAGAGGCAGCGGATGAAGGAGGAGGAGGAGGCGGCAATGAACGAGATGCTGGGGATAGCGCCTGTGAAGAGGAGAGGGCCGAAGCTGGGGGAGGCGCGAGGCATGGAGAAGGGCGAGATGGATGAGCTGTTCAGAAGGGGGCAGAGCGGCGAGGTGCTGACGCAGGAGTATGCGTCAGGGGAGAGGATCCAAGGGCTTGGGTTCGCACCGTAAGTGATGTGTGCTGATGGTCCCTGTTGAGCTTGTGTTGCTCGCCAACACTTCCAGTAAACCTGTCCTTGCCATTGGCGATTCTCCTTTCTTTCTTTCTGTTTTGTCGTTACGGCCATGTTTGAGTAGGAGGTGATTGAAAGCCTTTTGTCTGCTGCATGCACCCTGCAGGGCCGCAGGGCATGAGGAGCGTGTGGCACGCATGAAGAAGCAGCTGGAGGAAAAGATTGCTGCACAGGGTGCTGCTGGGGCTGTCAATAGCGAGGATAAGGCAGCAGGCAGCAGTGCCAGGGCTAGAGAGGCAGGAGAAGGAGGTGGGAACAGCGAGGAAGAGGACTTGGAGGAGCAAAAGGTGCAAGGTAAAGGGCGTGAGGAACCAGGGCTTGGGAGGGGAGATGGTGGTGAAGGAGGTGAAAGAAGGAAGGGCAAGAAGAAAGGCGATAAGGAGGGCAGCAAGAAGAGGAGGAAAGGTCGGCATTCTTCGTCCAGTTCCTCCTCGTCTTCAAGTTCAGGATCAGATTCAGAATCAGAATCAGAATCGGGCTCGGATTCAGGTGAGGATGGATCAGGCAAGGGGGGAGGAAATGGTGGTGGAGGAGGGGAAGGAAAGAGGAAAAACGGAGTGGGGGGGGATGGAGCAGCAGGGGAGGGGGAACGGAAGAAGGGTAAGCGTGCAAAGCAGAGGGAGGAGAGGAGGCGTGTGCGGGAGGCAGAGCGTGAAGGCAAGGTTCGGGTGAGCAAGAAGCGGCAGAGGCGGTACGCTCGGGAGGAGAAGCTGGCTCGGAAAAAGGCTCGGAGAGAGGGACGGCGGCGTGCAGAGAAAGAGCTTGCTGCCACAAGGGATGGGTATGGGGATGAAAAACAGAGTGAGGGGAGTGGAAACATTACAAAGCGGGAAAGGACAAGGGAGGGCGACATAGACACAGGAGTGCAAGGGAGGAGCGTGAAGGGTGGTGCGGGGAGGAGTTTTGAGGCGATGTTTTCAATGGGGGGTCTGGAGGCTGATGCGGGCAAGCTGAGGAAGATACGGGAGCAGGCACAGGACAAGGAAGCTAGGTTGTATGAGAGGAGGGAGTACAAGAGGTTAGCCAAGGAAGAGAAGAGGAGGTTTCAGGCAAGGGACTGATCAGGCCCTCAGATTGGTTTGAGGGTATGCTGATCGATCAGCGTGCCCCGGCCGCCCAGGTGTCCAAATCAGCGTTCATGGTTTTTTTTTACTGATTTTGCCAGTGTAAAAATCATAAGTAGACTGAACCATCAGTGTAAAAAAGAAAAACAGAGTTGAGTCACCAATTCAACTCAAAGTTTGCGGCCACGAGAGTTCCTTCCAGCGATGCAAAGCACGTCGGCACGCGATCTGCTGTACAGCGCATGGCATCTCCAAGTGTGTGGTTGGGGTCTCGTGAATCCCGGGCCAGGTCCATACTATACGCACGCGTACCCACCCCCCCCCCCCCCCCCCCGCCGAATCGGTCAAGTCCGTTTCAGTGGGACTCACGATACTACACTGATTTGTTAGTGTTACTTCTACAGCAACACGGAGAATGGTCAGTGTGGCAAGGTAGATTATACTGAAATTTCAGTGCAAAATTGAAGCATATGCTGAATTTCCAGGGAAAACGAAAATCACAGCTACAAAATCAGCCTAATTAGCGTGTTTTACGCTGATATCTGAGGGCCTGGGACTGATCTAGGGCGGTGTGGTGGATCGTGAAGAGTTGTGGCATAGAAAGAAGTGTATTGCAATATACGTGAGGATTTTCACGTGATTTTGCTTCTGCTTTGTTTTTATGCTGATATGCTCCCGTCCTGTCCGAGTTGCAGATTATGTGCATTTATCAACAAGCTAATGCTGTGCATGGTGCTTTCTTTGACTGTTGTTGAGTGATATTGGCTACTTCTTTATTCGGCAAATTGGTCAAGTGTTCGGCGCGATATCATCACTTTTGCTCACGAAGTGACGCGCCGCGAGTGTGTGACCGACAATCCCAAGAAATGCGCAGAAGCATATCTGACAGGCCCAGGAGGGAACTGAACGGACATAAGCAGAACGGTGGTGATCGGTCGGTCACCGCAAAAGCACGAACCACCAGATTCAGTGAACTTCGTGCAGCAGGTGCTTGCTGATCAGCGGCACTGCATGCCTGAGAGGGTCGATCGGAAGGAGAGAAGCACGTGACAGTCTCAAGGTGAAGCTGCGGATTCAGAAGCGGGCTGGAGGAAACTGGGAAGGCGACGAATTGGATGGAATCTCAGTGAACTATTATGTTTCTCGCGAGGTGCTGACGGGATGAACGTTAAGTCAAGGCGGCTAAGAGGCTAAGTCCTGGGACCATCGTGCGCGACGGTGAATTTCGATTCGAATGATCCAAGGCTTTAGTCGCGTTTCCAGCACAGAACAAGCACGCAGATGGTACCGTCTTCCGGCCTGTGACGCAAGCTGCTGCTCCGGAAATTTACGATAATGTCCTCCTCGCTTCTAGATAGGCAGAGCATTCCGACAACCTAAGCAAGTTAAGCGGCTCTCTAGTGACCAAATTCAATGCCGTGACTGTTCGCTCCACTCATCGCGAACCGTTCGGTTGCAAAAAAGGATTGGAATCTACCCGCCTATCCCAATTCAACGCAACGACATTAGAGCTTCAGATCGTTTTCTTCGCCGCACCGGCCCGAGCGGCGACAATTCTGTTACCGGACGTACCGAAACTACTCGCTGCTACGTCAGCGATGGAAGCTCGATACCTGAAAGCGAAGAAATCTTGTCGGATGGAAATCCGGCAAAACGGGAGGAGGAGGGTCGGTCCCTGGCGGACTTGGTGCCGCGGCTGATGGAGAAGGGAGCTGAAACCGTCACCAAGGTGGTTGCGTCTCGCACTGGCGGCCTCATCGTTCTGAACGCGCTCACCATGCTCTATGGTATGCATTCATCATGCTCTATGGTATGCATTCACCATGCTCTATGGTATGCATTCACCATGCTCTATGGTATGCATTCACCATGCTCTATGATATGCATTCATCATGCTCTATGGTATGCTTTCATCATGCTCTATGGTATGCATTCGTCATGCTCTATGGTATGCTTTCATCATGCTCTATGGTATGCATTCGTCATGCTCTATGGTATGCATTCACCATGCTCTATGGTATGCATTCATCATGCTCTATGGTATGCATTCGTCATGCTCTATGGTATGCAATGCATTCACCATGCTCTATGGTATGCATTCACCATGCTCTATGGTATGCATTCACCAAGCTCTATGGTATGCATTCGTCATGCTCTATGGTATGCACTCATCATGGTCTATGGTACGCATTCAACACTCTCCATGATACTCACTTACCGTGCTCTCAATCTCGCTTCTTGACCTCTTCCATCGTCCAGGATTAAGCGCTCCCAACCTCCCTTCCCTACCATGCTTGCATCACACCCGCACTTCCTGCAGCCAGCAACGGCACGGTGATCAAGGGAGCAGAGGAAGCCGCGGGAGGGCCGCTGCAGTTCTGTCTGGGTCGCTTCGCCATCGCTGCACTTGCACTCTCTCCGCTGCTCCCCACCGCCCTCTCCAACCCCGCTGTCCGTCGATGCGGCATCGAAATGGGCCTCTGGGCCGCTCTCGCATACCTCTCCCAGGCCTTCGCTCTCATCACCACTGGCGCTGGCCGCGTGGCATTTATCGGCACTTTCACTGTAAGCAGGAATTAGCTTTCGTGGATTCGCCTTCACTTTTGGCTGTGTCTGGATGTCTTGGCATTGTCGTTTGCAATGGATGTGCTTGTGAATCAATCTTAAGGACGGTTCTGCGTGCTGCATTGCCAGCTTGGCACCATGCTTCCGCGTGATTAATGTGTTGCTGCGTCCGTTTATCAAATGATGTACGTGCCGCTGGAGGCAGTTCTTCAGAGATAATCATTTCAATGATATCGGTCTTCTTGTTCTCTGTTGTCTGACCTGCGAAGGGGCAGATGATAGAGGTGCCGCTGGTGGCAGGTCAAACGTCTGTTATACATAATTTTGTATCTGCTCTGTCGCCTGATCTGCGGGGCAGATGATAGAGGTGCCGCTGGTGGCGGGTCTGCTGGGGGCGCGCATCCCTCCCCTCGTGTGGGCTGCCACTGCCTCCGCCGTTGCTGGCGTTCTCCTCCTCGAAGCCAACTCTGAAGCCTCCACGCTCGTGAGTCCACTCGTATTTTCACACTCAGGACCCTGATCGAAATCGATTCATGTCAGAGATAAGCATCTATTTGCTACACTCATGTGCCATCCGCTATGATATGATGTCTACGACCAACTCTCGTCAGTATGTTCTTCCAGCTGCATTGTATCATGCCCACTACTCACATCACTTGCTCCTGCTAGTTTTGCTGTCTGAGAAAGAGGCCCCTCAAACATCGACCTGTACCTGTGCCTGTGCTCCATGTCTGAGAAAGAGGCCCCTCAAACATCGACCTGTACCTGTGCTCCATGCCCTCCGCACCCGCTACTGTCTCAGGCCGGTGACGGCGGCCTGGTGTTGGTGATGGCGTTGAAGGCTCTTCAAACATCGTCCTGTGTCACTGTCTCATGTCCCCTCCGCACGCATGACTGGCGCAGGTGGGGGGGGGTCTGGCACTGGTGAGCGCCATGGCGTTTGGGCTGCTCATGGTGCGATCGGAGCACTTTGCAAAGACTGTGTCCGTGTGTCCTGTGTCCCTGTCACATTCCCTCCCCTCTCTCCCCACACATCACTGGCTCAGATGGGTGACGGCCTGGCTTTGGTGAGCGCGGTGGCGTTTGGGCTGCTCATGGTGCGATCGGAGCACTTTGCAAAGACTGTGCCCGCCACAGCCAGTCTTGACCTCATCGCCCTTCAGGTGATGTGAGCTATGCTGTGTGATCCACGTGTCAAACGTGTAGAAATCACATGTGCTCCCGTCCACCTCAGAGCGCACATTATTCATTGTAACGCTGCTCCTCTGTGTGTGCTGAATTGTTTCGCGCACTGGCAGATATCCACTGTGGCGTGCTGTGCTGCTATTGGCACAGCATTCATCAGCCTCATAGACCTTCCATTGGCCACCACCGCCCTTGCAGCCGACATAGGGGCATCAGCTATAACAGCTGCATCAGCCACAGCAGCCGCAGCAGCCATGCCAGTAACTGCAGCAGACCTCGCGTCTCCTCTTCCTGCTCTTCTTACCTCACACACCCTGCCCAGTTTAGTCGCCCAGGCCAAGGAGCTCATCAGTGCCACGTCACCCACTGATGTTGTGGAAAGATTAGCCTCGGTGGTGAGCTCGTGGCCGTGGGTACAGATGGGGTACACAGGGGTGGTTTCCACCGCCCTCTGCCTCTGGCTTGAGGTTCGTTGCTGTTGGCCCTCCACAGGTTGGACTGCAACCCCACCACCACCACCACCGCTGCGACCACCACCACCGCTGCGACCACCACCACCACCACCACCACCACCACCACCACCACCACCACCACCACCACCACCACCACCACCACCACCACCACCACCACCACCACCACCACCACCACCACCACCACCACCACCACCACCACCACCACCACCACCACCACCACCACCACCACCACCACCACCACCACCACCACCACCACCACCACCACCACCACCACCACCACCACCACCACCACCACAACCACCACTGCCGCCACCGCCGCCACCTTCTTTGAATTCCTGTCTCTCATGACTCCTGCTTTCGATATTATCCCTTGTCTTTTCCACATATCGACCCACATGTTGTTCGCTCGTTGTTTGGTACAGATCGTGGCACTCCGGCATGTTGCGGCCTCTGAAGTGGCCATGGTCTACACTCTCGAGCCGCTATACTCAGCTCTATTAGCCTCGTTGGTCCTACAGGAGGAGTGGACAACAGTAGGGTATCTGGGAGCAGCACTGATTTTCGGTAAGTACGGTACTTGTCCTGGGGGGCTCTTATCTCCGCGTGTATGTACACGGTATTCAGGAATGTCCCGTGGCCTCTGTATCGCTAACAAGCTCTGCCTTCTCCTGCAGGAGGAAGTGCTGCTGTTCAGCTTGGGAATGCCAGGGATGAGAAGTCTGAGGGTGACACTCTGGATAAATCGGCAGCCAAATAACATTGTAACATTATGTTATAGCCACATCTGTAGAACCATGTTGTCGGCATGTTAATGCCCTCCTCTACACATGTGCCCCCGAACGCAGTTGTGACCATACCACAATACTGAACCAAGGTGACACACACACCACTGCATGACTCACACTTTAAAAGCAGAACAATGCATGCTCCCCAAACTCTTACAGCACCCCAACCCCCTCCTATTCCCAGAGCTCCTACTAGATCCTCTGGTAGTACCGTGGAAGAACCGTGTTCCACGGAGGGTGACGGTACCCACTGTGTGGGTTGAACTCCGTAGCATACACAAACTGTCGCGCCGTGTGTCGTGAAATCATGCCAGCCCCCTCGCAAGTCCTAAGCCCTGTCATAGTGCCTCAATCGGAACAGCAGCACCTTCCCCCGCCGGTTCCCCACAGCCAGGTACCCACTGTGCGGGCTGAACTCCACCGCGTGCACAAACTGCAGTGCTGTGCGTTCAGTGGGCCAGTTGAAGAACACGGAGCGCGACGGCACGTGCACCAGGCGCAGCGAGTCGCGCTGCTCGCGGGAGGAAAGAGCGAGGATGCGGCCGTCGTGGTTGAACGAGAGCGCGTCTATTTCAGTCGTTAAATTCATGAACGCCCGTTGCAGCGGCTTCTCGTTGTCCCGGCTCAAGCCTCCCGTTCCCAATGCTGCTTCTGATGATGATATGCTTCCAAAGGGTCCTGAGCGGAGGAACGCCGGGCGGTCATACAGATTCACCACTCCAGAGTCGGATCCAGCCGCGAAGTGCCGCCCGTCTGGGGACGCTGCAATGGCGGTGCCCTTCACACACCCGTCGTCTGCCCGCCGGTGAATGCAGCGCATCATGCGCAGATCAAAGTGGTACACCTCCCCGTCACTGCCCGTCGCCAGCATCTGATGCTCCCCTGTCAGGGCTTGCCCGCTTGGACTATCGGACCCGTCAGCACCGGCGGCAGCGTCGGAGGGAACGGGAGGTGCGAAGCAGACGGAGGAGACGGAGCCGTTGAGTTTCAGGTTGCCCATCCACTGGCGGGACTTGAGTGACACGAGCACAATAAACCCGTCGCGAGACAGGAACGCCGCCTTGCCTCCATCCGGGGACAGGGCGAAGCGCGTCAGCGGCGGGTCGCGCTTTGGCCGCCCGATTATCCCATCCACGCGGGCGACTCGCCCCGCGCCGATATCATACACATGGTACCCATTGAACGCTTCGCCCGTGGCGTAACCGCGATTCGCGTTACGACCGTTACGCCCCGCTACAACCACCTGGGTGCCGTCAGCAGTGAAAGCAGCGGTGCGCACGAGCACATTTTCAAAGTAGATGGACTGCAACTCGGGGTTCTCCTCGCCGTCCACGTGGACGAATCTCACCCGTCCATCTATGCTCCCGCACAGCAGCAGCTGCCCGTTCGAGTGCCAGCTCAGCGACTGGATCGCGCGGGACGGCGCGACGGGAGTGATGGCGCTGGCGCCAGTGGGGGCCTGCCAGTTGGCGTCGCGCACGCGGGAGATTCGGATTCGCCCGGGCGGCAGGCGGTGGGTGGTGCGCTGGCTGGCTCGGTCCTTGCTCTGGCCGGCAAGCATTGGCATGTTGCGCAGAATCTCATCGGCATCAAATCCGTCCTGATCCTCCTCTCCTTCACTCTCTCCCTCCTCATCCTCGTCCTCACCCAACCCCATGGCAGCTCTCTCCTGCTCTAGATCGCTGAATACCCCCCTTGCTTCCCCATCTGATAACTCCCCTGCATCCGCCTCCTCCTCCTCCTCGCTCTCAGCATCCTCGTTAGAACGCTTCTCTTTAACAGCATCGCCCCGCTTCTCCTTTCTCGTAACCGGCTTTTCCTTCTTCTCTTTCTTCTCCTTCTGCTGCTTCCCTAACCCTACCTTGGCCCACCTCGTTCCCGGGTTCAACCTAACGTGTTGCGCACGCAACCGCTGCTGGTACTCCACCCCCGATACAGCGACCTCGTCCTCCTCCTTCCGCAGCTTCCTCAGCCGATTCTGCCCCGTTATAGTCACAACCAGCGTCTCGTCCTCCTCGTCCACCCACGCGGGTTTCTCCGCTTCCGCCTCTAAGCCCTTCCCCTTGCGCTTCTTTCCCTTTGAACCCTTCCGCCAGTCCTCCTCCTCCACTCGCTGCTTCTTGCGGTCGATAAACCCCAGCAGAACCTCGCCCCCTGCCAAACCCTCCGCATTCCCGCCTTCTCCCCCGGGTTCTCCGCCGAAATGCGCGGTGATCAGATCCTCGCTGTTCGGCGGAAGGTCCGCGGCAGCTTCACTGTCCACCGCTCCCGCTGCCAGCTCATTTCCAAGGTCTGCCACGTAATCGCTTGATTTACCGAACAAAATGCTCTCTAGCTCCTTCGCCTTCTCCGCGTCGTCCGCCGCCCTTGCCGCTCGCTCCTGCTTCTGCCGCTTGCCAGCGACGCGCGGAGCCATTGCGACGTGCGTTGATCGAGTAAGGCAGCAGCAATTATGAGTAAGTAAGCTTAATTGCTGGTGGGGCTGGTACGCATGCTTGGTTCCGTGCCACAAACAAGTGTTTTTGAGGTGGTTCCAGGAGATGGTGGGAGACTCTCGCTCGGATGTAGACCGCGCAAAACCGAGCTGAATCAGTTTTTCTGACGATAAAAAAGAGCTACGATCGCCATATCACGGATAAAAGGGCACAGTATGAAAGGGGATATTGTAAGGAATTTTCTCGGCATTCCTTACGGAGCCGACTACATCGCGTACAGCAACAGCCGATTGTTCGCCCGTTACTGCTAACGGAACTTCGCCGACTTCGCGCGCACTGTTTTACCAAACCTCGCACTGCTGGCATGGCCGTATCGGCCTACGCTTCGGGACTAGCCCGAGCCTCGCTCCAGCGTAGCACTAGCAAGCTCGCACGCACCGCGTTACCGTTTTGCATGTTTCGCGTATAAATGTTCGCTCATGCCTTCGCTCACATTTTGTACTCGTTTGACACCTTAGTGCAATTCTCGCTACCTCGATTCATTGCACCCGTAACACTTGGTTATCAGAGCCCCTTTCTTTCAGACCGCGCATCTCCGCACACCAGGAAATCAACTTTTGATTTTTCACTCGAAGGGACTCACGCACCTTAGCCCCTAGGAGCCGCTGTCCTCGCGTTCTCTCGTAAACGCGTGCAGCCACGACTGCGCCTAGACTAAGACGAGCCGACGCCCTTCGTCATGGCCGAAAACATCGACGTCACCACTCTCACGCAGGAGCGTTTGAACGATCTGCTGCGACAACTGCACGAAAGCTCCGAGGAAATCGCGGCATTGACGGCAGAACGCTCATCACTGCAAAATGACCTCCTGAGAGCACAATCTCAAGCACCTGGCACTCCGATTCAACCCGCACCCTCAACATCACAACACGGGAGTGTGGGGCAACCCGCGAGCGCGGCCAGTGATGGCGTCGTCCGCCCCGACGGAGACGATGACCACGGCACGACACACCCCAGAGCGACGCCTGCGGCCCCAAGTCAGCCTCGCGTCACGATTTCGACACCAACCCACGATTCGGGACTGCCGTCACCGATGCCGCTGAAGCCGCAGCGCCCGCCATGCTTTGACCCGAGTCAACGGGGTGGTCCTACCGTTCAGGCGTGGTTATTCACAACGAATGTTTTCTTCGACGCCAACTACGTCTCGGAGGACTCGGCGAAGATTCGATACGCCGTGTCGTTGCTGCGAGGACCCGCCATGGACTGGTGGCGCGTCATCGTCACGAAGCCGACCGACTACGCGACACTACCGACACGGGAAGGACAAACCGGACCCTGGGCGCCGTCGTATTTCGTGGAGGTGCCCCAGTATCGCACGTGGGACGCGTGGTGCGCAGGTCTGCGCGCTCGATTTGAGCCAATCGCGGCCTCGATCTCGGCGCGACAGAAGCTCCGCACTTGGCGCCAACTCGGTTCCGTCCAGGATTACACGAGCAGATTTCTGGCGCTATGCGAGCAGGTGGGCTACATGCATGAGAGCGAACGCATCGACCGCTACATCGGCGGCCTGAAGTAGGACATCGCTCAGGAAATCCAGCTTCGCGGCGTCACTGAGTTTCACGAAATTCTCGCTATGGCGGAGAAGCTCGACTTCTTTCGCCGACCGAGACCGGGGTCCTACGGAAACAACACCTGGGGACATCGGCCTCGTGGGACGAACGAGAGCGCCACGATACGCGCCGTCGCCGCAAATGCCGCTGCCGCACCGTTCAAAGGGCGCTGCTTTGCGTGCAATCGGCCGGGACATCGCAAGAGCGAATGCCCGGAAAACGCTAAGGGAAAGGGGGAAGCTGAGCAGCAGAAACAGACCAAGCAGCAGGGAAACGCTGGAAGTCAGTAGCAGTCGGGCCCTCTACTCACAGGTCACGCCGCTCGCCCGACCCAACCGACCCTCACCGAGTGATTGTGCCGGTTCACGCAATCGACCACACCCGGCCGAATAAGGAGGGTACCACGGTAGATAGCCCTATACTGCTCAGTGGGAAAATTGGGACGGACTTAGTTAAAATCTTCGTAGACGGGGGAGCCAGCCACAGCCTCATTAACACTGCTACAGCACGCAAACTGCGACTGCCACTGGACCGATGCTTACATGAGATCGACGCACGACTGGTAGACGGCACGCCGCTGGCAATACGGGAACGCGTAGACCGAGTTCGGATTCGATGCGGGGGTAACTTCACGTTTAGTCAGGAAATGCTCGCAACGACCCTCGACGGAACCGACATTTTACTCGGGCGTGATTGGCTGCGACGACACAATCCGCGAATTGACTGGACGACAGGTGACTGCACCGTGCGAGTAAACGGTAACAACGTCGCTGGGGCTCGCCTGAGTCTTCGTCGGTGCGTGTCAACGCGATCACGATGAAACGCGCTGTTGCGGCCGGAGCTGACGTGTACGCGGTTGACATTCGGGAAGCCGAGGCAGCAGACAAGGGGGGCGATTTACAGAAACTGCTGACCGACGTACCGAGTGACCTGGCGGCACTGTTAAAACAGTACAGTGACATTTTCCCGGATGACTTACCGACGGGACTGCCACCTCAGCGACCGCACGATCACAGGATAGAACTGGAACCGGGGGCACAGCCAACAGTACAGCGACAGTTCCGACTGACCCAACCCGAACTAGACGAACTAAGGAAGCAGCTCGATTACCTGCTCGAAAAGGAATTCATTCGCCCTAGTTCGTCGCCCTTCGCCGCACCAATACTGTTCACACCGAAAAAGGACGGGGGTTTTCGCATGTGCATCGACTACAGGGCACTGAACAAGGTTACCATCAAATCCCGTTACCCCATCCCACGAGCCGACGAACTGATCGACCAACTGCGCACAGCCCGGGTTTTCTCGAAAATCGACCTCCGAGGAGGCTACCACCAAATCCGCGTCAACCCACCCGACTGCCCTAAAACCGCATTCCGAACACGCTACGGATCCTTCGAATACACCGTCATGCCATTCGGACTGACCAACGCCCCCGCCACTTTCCAAATGACCATGAACGAAGCATTCCGCCCGCTTTTAGATAAGTGCGTCATCGTTTATCTGGACGACATACTGATTTACAGCCCTGACAGAGCACAGCACTTACAAGACATCGAAGCAGTTTTTAAAATCATGAGTGAGAACCGCCTACTGACCAAAGCATCTAAGTGTGAGTTTTTACAGGACCGCCTGGAGTTTTTGGGACATGTTATTTCAGCTGCAGGAGTGGAAATAGACCCGAAGAAAATTGCGACGATTCAGGCTTGGCACGCGCCGACCAACTTGACCGAGTTGCAGAGTTTCCTGGGGTTCGTCAACTACGTGCGCCGGTTCGTCCCCGACATGGCGAAGCTGACTGCCCCGTTGACTGACCTGCTGAGGAAGGGGGTTGAGTACACGTGGGGGGAGAAAGAGCAAGCTGCCTTCTCGGCCCTCAAAAATATTTTGTGCTCCCCGCCCGTGTTTCACATTGCAGATCCCCACCGTCCGTTCGAGCTCGTCACCAACGCAAGTGACATCGCTGTGGGAGCAGTACTGTTGCAGGATTTCGGGAACGGCCTCCAGCCAATCGCGTACGAGTCCCGCAAGTTACACTCGCCCGAACGTAACTACCCGATACACGACCGCGAGATGCTAGCGATCGTGCACGCGTTCAAAGTTTGGCGATGTTACCTGACTGGCGCCGACGTGACAGTACGGATAGACCACCGCTCGCTACAGTATCTTCGCGCCCAACCGAATCTCAACCCACGACAGATTCGCTGGTTGGACTATCTCGAGTCCAATCTTCACTACACTGTTACGTACAAAAAGGGTGCATCCAACATCGCCGACGCTCTCACCCGCCCCACCGCCCAACTCCATGCCATCCTACTCGCCCAGGCCAACCCGCTTTTAACTGGCCTATTCACCCACGGATACCGCACCGACCCATTTTTCACGACCGGAAATTCACAGCAACTGGCAGAAGCAAAAGGAGTCTATTACGTAAAAGCAGGCACCAACCGCATTTGGGTACCCGCGTACTCACTACTGAGGGAGCTGCTACTACAGGAGGCACACGACGGGATTACCTCGGGACATTTCGGGGTAGAAAAAACGCGACAGCAACTGCAGCGGTACTATTACTGGCCGGAGCTGTTGACCGACGTACAGCAGCACGTGGGCTCGTGCCCGACGTGTCAGGTGATGAAGAGTTCAAGGAAGCGGAAGGCGGGTCAATTGCAGCCGATCCCACCGCCCGAACGCGCCTGGCAGCAAGTAACCATGGACTTCGTCACAGGGTTACCTTAGAACCCTGGGGGTAACGACGCGGTGATGGTCGTCGTGGATAGGCTGACGAAGATGGCACACTTCGCTGCGTGCAAAAAGTCGATCTCAGCCAAGGAGACCGCTCGCATGTTCATCGCAGCCGTTGTTCGCCTGCACGGGATACGAGCAGCAATTATCAGCGACAGGGACACGAAATCTACCAGCAACTTCTGGAAGAACCTCTGGGAGCAGTTCGGGACCAGGCTACAGTTCAGTTCGTCGTACCACCCCGAGACCGACGGCCAAACGGAGCGGACGAATCAGACGATGGAGCAGTTGATTCGTGCCACGTGCGACGACCCCACGACCTGGGAGCAGCAGCTGCCGCTGATCGAGTTCGCGTACAACAACGCCACATCAGCCACGACGCAGCAGTCCCCGTTCTACCTGAACTATGGGCAGAACCCCACAGTGCCCATGACGCCGAGTCCGGACAACCCAACGCCACGCGCACAACAATTCGCCGAAATCCTGCAAGCTGCCCGCGCCAGAGCCGCCGAAGCAATAAAAAAGGCCAACGTCATCGCTAAGCGCAACGCTGATCGCCACCGCCGCCCCGTCACGTATCAATCTGGAGATTACGTGCTACTCGACACGCAAAATCTGCGACTGCCCGACGT